ATCATTTTTGGGCCATTCCAAGCTGGAGCTTTTGGGCCCAAAATCCAAGGTATAACCGTTTGGTCTTAGAAGCCCCGTGTGAAAGCCTGTTCCGAAGTTGATATCTTCTGTACGCCACATGGACAGCTCATATACGATCTTTTAGATGATAGTTTAGGGCCTTGTTTCCAAATCGGTATACATATCTCGCCTGCTCAATGCGTGATTAACAATTGCATATGCCATATAAATTAATGCACAAAATCGTGCCACTCCGGAAGCATTTGGCAGTTTTCGCTCAATATCTCTCTGTTGTTGGTTTCCACTCCATTTTGAGGCCATAATATTTTGTTTAAGACATGTAGGAAGCATTGTAATCATTTTTGGGGCATTCCGAGCCGGTGCCACTTGGCCCAAAAATCTAAGGTTTCTTTGGTCTGAGAAGCCCTCTATTGAGGCCTGTTTCGAAGCTGATATCTTTTGTATGCCTGATGGGCAGCTCATATAGGCTTTTCTAGGCAATAGTTTAAGGTCTTGTGGCCAAATCGGTATGCCTATCTTGCCTGCTCGATGCGTCATTAACAATTACATATGCCATATAAATTAATGCGCAAAATCGGTGCCACTCCGGAATCATTCGACAGTTTGTGCCTAATATCTCTATTTCTATTGCTTGCCACTCCATTTCGAGGCCATAATATTTTTTCTAAGACATCTATAAAGCATTGTAATCATTTTTGGGCTACTTCGAGCCGGTGCTTCTGGGCCCAAAAATCCAAGGTATACCCCTTTTGGTCTGAGAAGCCCTGTGCGAAGGCCTGTTCTGGAGCCAATATCTTCTGTACACCTGACAGGCAGCTCGTATAGGCTCTTCAAGGTGATAGTTTAAGGTCTTATGATCCAATCGATATCCATATCTCAGCTACATGCGTCATTAAGAATCGCATATGCAATATAAATCCATGTTCAAAATCGGTGCCACTCCAGAAGCATTTGGTAGTTTTCGCCAAATATCTCTCTATCTGTTGCTTGCCACGCCATTTCAAGGCCATAATAATTTGTCTAAGACACGTAGGAAGCATTGTAATCATTTTTGGGCCATTCCGAGCTAGAGCTACTGGGCCCCAAAATCTAAGGTATACCCTTTTGGTCTGAGAAGCCCTGTGTGAAGGCATGTTTCGGAGCCGATATCTTCTCTATGCCTGATGGGCAGCTCGTAAAGGGTCTTCTAGGTGATAGTTTAGGTTCTTGTGGTCAAATCAGTATGCCTATCTTGTTGGTTGCTTGATGGGTGATTAAGAATTGAATATGCCGTATAAATTAATGCGCACAATCAGTGCCACTCCAGGAACATTTGGTAGTTTTCGCCCTCTATCTCTCTATCAGTTGCTTGTCATGTAATCTCGAGGCCATAATATTTCATTTAAGACATGTAGAAAGCATTGTAATCATTTTTGGGCCATTATGAGCCGAAGCTTCGAGGCCCCAAAATCCAAGGTATAACCCTTTGGTCTTAGAAGCCCTATGTAAAGACCTATTTTGGAGCCAATATCTTCTGTACGCCTGAGGGGCAACTCGTATAGTGTCTTCTAGGCAATATTTTAGGGTCTTCTGGTCAAATGGGTATGCCTAGCTCACATTTTCGATACGTCATTAAGAATTGCATACGCTACATAAATTAATGCACAAAATCAGTGCCACTCTGGAAGCATTTAGCCGTTTTCGCCCAACATCTCTCTATTTATTGCTTGCCACACCATTTTGAAGCCATAATATTTCGTCTAAGACATGTAGGAAGCATTGTAATCAGTTTTGGGTCATTCCAGCCCGGAGCTACTGGGCCCCAAAATCCAAGGTATACGCCTTTGATCTTAGAAGCCCAGTGTGAAGGCCTGTTTCGGAGCTGATATCTTTTGTAAAAGCCTATTCAAGAGCCAATATCTTCTGTCCGCTTAAGGGGCCACTCGTATAGGGTCTTCTAGGGGATATTTTAGGGTCTTGTGGTCAAATCGGTATGCCTATCTCGCCTATTCCATGCGTCAGTAAGAATTGCATACGCCACATAAATTAATGCACAAAATCGGTACCACTCTATAAGCATTTGGCAGTTTTCGCCCAATATCTCTCTGCCTGTTGTTTGTCAGGCCATTTTGAGGCCATAGTGTAGGAAGCATTTTAATCATTTTAGGGTCATTCCGAGCCGGTGCTTTTGGGCCCCAAAATCCAAGGTTCACCCCTTTGGTCTGAGAAGGCCTGTTCCAGAGTCGATATCTTCTGTACGCCTAACAGGCAGCTCGTATAGGGTCTTCTAAGCCATAGTTTAGGGTTTTATGGTCAAATCAGTATGCCTAACTTGCCTGCTTTATGCGTCATTAAGAATTGCATACGCCATATAAATTAATGTGCAAAATCAATGCCACTCCGAAAGCATTTGGCAATTTTCACCCAATATCTCTCTGTCTGCTGCTTGCAACACCATTTTGAGGCTATAATATTTCATCCAAGACATGTAGGAAGCATCGTAATCATTTTTGGGTCATTCCGAGCCGGAGCTTCTAGGCCCCAAAATCCAAGGTATGCCCCTTTGGTCTTAGAAGCCCTATGTGAAGGCTTGTTCAAGAGCCAATATCTTTTGTACGCCCGATGGGTAGCTCATATAGGGTCTTCTAGGCGATAGTTTAGGGTCTTATGGTCATATCGGTATGCATATCTCGCCTGCTCAATGCGTCATTAAGAATTGCATACACCATATAAATTAATGTGAAAAATCAGTGCCACTTTAAAAGCATTTGGCAGTTTTTGCCCAATATCTCTCTGTCAGGTTATTGCCACGCCATTTCTAAGCCATTATATTTCATCTAAGACATGCAGCAAGCATTGTAACCTTTTTTCGGCCATTCCGAGCTGGTGCTTCTGGGCCCCAAAATCCAAGGTTTACCCCTTTGGTCTGAGAAGTCCTGTGTGAAGGCCTATTCCAGAGCCGATATCTTCTATACGCTTGATGGGCAACTCGTATAGGGTCTTCTAGGCGATCGTTTAGGGTCTTGTGGTCAAATCGGTATGCCTATCTCGCTTGCTCGATGCGTCATTAACAATTGCATACGCCATATAAATTATTGCGCAAAATCAATGCCCGACGCTGATATCTTCTGTACGCCTGATGGGCATCTCGAATAGGCTCTTATAGGCTATAGTTTTGGGTCTTGTGATCTAATCGGTATGCCTATCTCGGCTGCTTATTGCATCATTAAGAATTGCATACGCCATATAAATTAATGCATAAAATCGGTGCCACTTCGGAAGCATTTGTGCCACTTCGGAAGCATTTGGGGATTTCGCCAATTATCTCTCTGTCATCGGTATGCCTATCTCGGCTGCTTATTGCATCATTAAGAATTGCATACGCCATATAAATTAATGCATAAAATCGGTGCCACTTCGGAAGCATTTGGCGGATTTCGCCCAATATCTCTCTGTCCGTTGCTTGTCACGGCATTTCGAGGCCATAATATTTCATCTAAGACATATAGCAAGCATTGTAATTATTTTTGGGCCAATCCAAGCTAGTGCTTCTCGGGCCCAAAATCCAAGGTTTACCCCTTTGGTCTCTGAAGGCCTGTTCCAGAGCCGGTATCTTTTGTACGCCTGATGGGTAGCTCGTATAGGGTCTTCTAGGCGATAGTTTAGGATCTTATGGTCTAATCGGTAAGCCTATCTTGCATGCTCGATGCGTCATTAAGAATTGCATAGGCCATATAAATTAATGCGCAAAATCGGTGCCACTCCAGAAGCATTTAGCAATTTTTGCCAAATATCTCTCTGTCTGTTACTTGCCACGCCATTTCGTGGCCATAATATTTCTTCTAAGACATGTAGGAAGCATTGTAATCATTTTTTGGCCATTTTGAGCCGAAGCTTTTAGGCCCCAAAATCTAAGGTATAACCCTTTGGTCTTAGAAGCCCTGTGTGAAGGCCTATTCTGAAGTTGATATCTTCTGTACGCCTGTCGAACATTTAGTATAGGGTCTTCCAGGCGATAGTTTAGGGTCTTATGGTCCAATCGGTATGCATATCTTGGCTACTTGATGCGTCATTAAGAATTGCATATGCAATATAAATCCATGTTCAAAATCGGTGCCACTCTTGAAGCATTCGGCAATATTGGCCCAATATCTCTATGTTTGTTGCTTGGCACACCATTTCGAGACCATAATATTCCGTCTAAGACTTGTAGGAAGCATCAAAATCATTTTTGGACCATTCTGTGCCGAAGCTTAAGGGCCTAGAAATTTTTAGCCCAAGCTTCTATTGCTTGGCATACCCCTTAAGTCTAAGAAGTTCTGTATGAAGGCCTATTCCGAAGTCGATATCTTATGTACGTCTGACGAGTAGCTCGTATTAGGTTTTCTAGGTGATAGTTTAGGATGCCCTTATCAGCTCGACATGCCTATCTCGTATGCTCGATGCGTCATTATGAATTGCATACGCAAGATAAATTAATGCACAAAATTTGTGCCACTCTGGAAGTATTCAGCTGTTTTGGCCTAATATATCTCAGTCTATTGCTCGGCGAGCCATTTTGAGATCACAATATTTCATCTTTTGACCTGTATGAAGCATTGAAATTAAACTTGGGCGAGCTTCTGTGCCAAAAATCCAAAGGTATGCCTCTTTGATTTAAGAAGTCCTGTATGAAGGCATGTTCCAGAGCCGATATCTTCTGTGCTTCTAACGGACAGCTCGTATGGAGTCTTCTAAGCGGTAGTTTTGGGTCTAATGATCAGCCTGGCATGCCCATGTCGTCTGCTCAATGCATCATTAAAAATTGCACAATATAAGTTCATGCACAAAATTCGTGCTACTTCAAAAGCATTCGACAGTTTTGTTAATGAATAATGGAAATGATATTATTTTAATATTTAAACTGAAACTCAAAATTTTTAAAAGAAAGTTTTAAAATATATTAATTTTTTAATTTGTTAGGGGGAAGAGGGATAATAAATCGATTGTTAAGCCATCTACCCGGTGGCATAAAAACGGAAGCAAGCTAAAGGCTTTGGGCCGGTCTTTTGCTTCTGAGAACAGACACAGCGGGCCAACTCGACCGAATTGAATTTCACTTATTTGAGAAAGTTGGTCTGTAGTCAGTCCAGAAGGTGATAGAAGTCTCGTTTGTGTCCAATGAAAGGAAAGTTGAATTTGCAATGAATAATAATATTCACAAATGATGAGAAAATAGCACCACCGAACGAGATGGCTCTGAACCCTCAACTGTTTCAAAATGGCTTGCCGGTCCCATTTACTAATGAGATCTTTGTTTTGAGTAGAGATGGCGTCGAGTTCGAGATTGATAAGATCCCTGGGTCAGTTCCTCATCTTCCTCGTTTAAATATCCTTTTATTAGTCCTTAATTGTTTAATAACTTAATAGAAAATTACGTGAATTGTTTTCATATGTTGAGGGATAATCCCTCATGGGTATGGATCAATAATCAGTGTTTCGTGTATGCTTCTTGTAAGCAGAAATACTGGATTTTCAATAGGGACTCGTTGGTTTTATTTTGCCTGATTTGGCTGCACCACCTGGGTGTCCTACGAGGTCAAATTGAATTAATATGAAAAATTAAAAATTTTTAATATTTGCTTCCCCTCTGTATATACTCCGCCAGTTTTCCCCTCTATGAACTTGTAATTTTTTATTTCAGCCAATTACAAATGGTATTATTTCAAGTCTTTGCTGGGCTTTTTCTGTTTGCTGTGTCTTGTGATGGTTGATTTTTGAGTCTTCACCGATGACTTGGAATATAAAATTTGAAGATGTCAATTTGGAGCTTGAAAGAATTCCTTCTTTTTTAAAAGAAAATGGGGAAAAGGGGGAGGGTTTGGGGTGTTTGGTGGTGTTTTTTTCTTTTTCTTTTTCTTTTTCTTTCAGAACACAAATGCTAACTTTTAGCTGTGTTGCTCTAGTTCTATTATTGTAATTTTAAATCACTATCAGAAATCGGATTGGTCTAGACAGGATGGTGGTGACATTGCTCTAATTTACTGAATCCCTCCGAACAAGAAACTAAAGAAAATAAATCTGTTACGAGATAAATTCTATGGCTTAATTTCAGATTCATTGCTTAATCTTGAATTCCTCAAGCAACTGCTGCTTTAGGGTGAATAATTCTACTTTAAACAATTAAGCTGGTGGGTTTTTGATGTTTTTGCTAAACTTACTCTTGTTTCATAATTGCAGAAGTCATGGAGGCCACGTCAAAGCTAAGGGAGTAATCTATTTGTCTAATGTACGACTGGTTTTTGTCGCACATAAACCTGTTGGAGCCTTTACTGCTTTTGATATGCCTCTGGTAAGTGAGCACTTAATTGTACTTGTGTATTTCTATCTCATCCAAGTTTCATTTTTCATCTCTTATTCAAGCTGCATCATTATTTTCCTTTTCCATCTCTCTTCCTCTATCCCATAACTTTTGTCTAATGTTAAGAGTCTTAAGACTTCATAACCAGTAATAATATCTCATCCAAGTAAATTATATTCTATTTACTTTGCTGGTTAAACATGCTTTTAATTTTTTTATATTTTAGAGATTTCTAGATGTTTCCTTCTGTAACATTTTTAAAAGTTTGATAACCTTGTAGTTTTTTGAATTTTGAATGCGGAGAAGCTTGTTTACTTGTTTCAGTTTTTCACCTCCCTTGAAAAAGTTATAGTTTTAGCACGTATCGCATTCAATTTTCATGTGGAAGTTGAATCTATTTTCTGCAGTGGAAGAAAACCTTTTATGTAATAACAATTACAATATGTAATGGAAGCTCTTTCTTCAATTTGTACAAGGATTTATGCTCTAGGCAAAGGCCAGCTTGCTTGATGTTTGGTAACTTCAATGCTTGGTTTTGCAATATTTCTTAAACCTTGTCATCTTGATAGCTCAATTGCTGTCATTTTTGTGTGATTGCAACTTAAATAACCATCCTTGTTAAGCTTACAATTAAATTGTTAATACTGGAATGTTTAAATCCTATGTTCTAAAGGTGGCCTTTTAAATATTCCATGTGATTACATTCCTTCTGTTTCATTAATTGCTTTGTTTTGCAGCTTTATATTCATGGAGAAAAATTCAACCAACCAATATTCTTTTGCAACAATATTTCTGGTCTTGTGGAGCCAGTATGTATAACGATAGAGGCTTTTCAGTTATTGTCTGTTAGTAGTATTTCTTCTCTGTAAATTCTGATTGCCTCAGCATGACCTTTCAGGTAGTCCCAGAAAATGAGAATGGTGCTCTCTACTCCACTCACTCATTCAAGATTTTGTTCAAGGAAGGGGGTTGTGGAACCTTCATTCCAATTTTTTTCAACTTGATCTCTTCAGTGAGACAAAATAATCAACCTACACCTGGAATGGGGCCTCAGATGGATCCTTTACGAGCAGCTCAGACTCCAGTTGATGAAATGATGAGACATGCGTAAGTTGCAGTTTATGATATTTCTACCTTGATAAAAGACTTGATTTTTGCAAATATTTGCACTGATTGTTTATTGTATTGCTTCTGGTAATGTGTATGATTGACAATGATTTGAGTGTTGATTACTCATTTTGCAGATATGTTGATCCTAATGATCCAACAAGAATATTCTTACAGCAGCCCACCCCAGAATCTGAGTTGAGAAGGCGCACATACCAGTTGTCTCCAGTTGAACGCTCCATGTGATATCTTCTCTATGGGATTTATTTATCAAAGACTACCTAAATACAAGCATACAAAATGTTATGTTATGGAGTGATTGCTGATGATTTACTGTATATTTTCTACTTAGTTTTATCCCTGTTTTTAATCTCTCTGTCTTGCTCATGATGGTGGTACGCAGATAAACTTTTACGGTGTAATCATTCAACACAACAATTTATGTACTATATGGCTTCTTAAATATGAACTATTGTGGTGATTTGATTAGTGTGCTATGACATGTTGGCACATTTTTTGAACCATGTGTTTTTAATTTTCAGTTTAAATTTTATTGATGAAAATTAATCTAAAGACTTTCCAAAGCCCAAATACTTCTACGTTGCAGTATACTTGTCGTTCAAGTTAGTTCAAGTTATTTCATGGTATGCAACTGTAAGGCAACTTAGTGTATGCTGATTGGCGAACAAGGGTTTGAATGAGCTTCTTTAACAATTATTAAGATCAAGAATATATTACAATGCATTTTCTTTTCCCGACCCCAAGAAATCCACCTACTGTTTAAATCCTTATCAATGAGATAAGGAAGAGGAAAGAGAGAATAGATTCACTGCAGATCAAATGTGATATGGATTGTCATACACGATCGATTTACGACAGAGCCAGAGTTGGGCACAACTTGAGCATGGTGTTGAGGTGGGAAAAGAAAATTAATCTATTGTTCTATGCTCAATAGTGATGATTTTCTACTCAGAAAATCTATATTTATATAGCAAGATATAGCTCATATCCAACTTCAGTTAATGATATTACAAAATTTTACTCAATGTGGTACAAGGAAAGATTTTACTTAAAACTAAAATTTAAATAGCTGGGGGACCCCGATAAGTGCCTGAAGATGAGAGCTTTACATCCCTGACCTCCAGTGACTTAGATTTAGTAAAACAACCGTAGGATGCTTCTTCTAAGCCATAACTGGTAAGCACTCATGTAAAAGGAATCATAGCCCTTTGGTGTTATGTGCCATCGGAAGTGCCTCCTAACCTTGCAGAGATTATGGTACATGTCCAGGTAGGTTTGTGTGGTTATTGCAAGCAATCTCTTTTTTAAGAAGGCAATATCCCTATGGTGAATGATAATTGAAAACTTGCTCCAGTCCAAGACATTAGCGAATGGAAGGTCGTAATTATTGGAAATTATAACAGGAATGCAGCCGTAATGAATAGCATCGCTGATCCTCGCAGTGTTAACTTCATAGCCTTTAACGTGGAGGCAATATCGGCTCCTCTTAAAGCCTTCATCATAAGGGAAACTTGGACTCCCATCAAATATGTCCATGTCAGTGTCATTTCCCCATAAATTTATCAACTCCTGACGAATGTGAGAATTTTGAAGTCGCCCAGCGAAGTAGACAAGTCTGTGCCTGCAGAGGTGGTTTATGCAAAATTAAATAAAACCTCTCAATATGTAGTCCCAGAAGGCGAGAAGAATTTTTTATTGGAGCATCGAAAATAGAAAAGAAAGTTTTGGATTTATAAATCCACGAAAATTTATGGAAATATTAAATTTAAACTTTAATTTACTAATTTATCATTTATAGGTAAATCTTACCAACTCAAATTAAAGAATGTCAAAAAAAAAAAAAAGAATGTTTTCAAAAGGAGTAAATTTTATTTAGAATTCGAAATTGAAACAACGCAAGTTTAATTGGTTTCCCTTCCTAGTTGCCTCCAGACAAAGCGTAGTAGGAAGCTGTTATCACTTCTAGTATAACTAATTTGAATATAGACTGACCATGAAATTGAACTGCTTTGACAATTGACAACCGAAACTCATGAATAAGTTGAAATAACTGAGGCGAAAGGAGCACTGGTGCTTAGTTAAGAGGTGACCTGGTATGTGGAGGATTCAATGTTTTCTGAGGAGGGCGAGGCCAGACCTGTGGAAGTCCGACATCTTTGTGGGAAACAAACAACCGCTGAAAGTAGCTGGAAGAACATGTGAGCTGAATGGCATTATTGTGCAAAGCGGAATGACTGGAGGCTGCCAAGCGCCCAACTGAATGGCAGCATACATAGAAATGATCGGCACCAGCTGAAGCATTCCAGAATTTGAAACGGTGGCTGATGGTGGTGGTGTATTGGGCAACAAATTTCGAGATGGATGCCTCAGAATGGAAGCGATGGTCGTTTCTGAGGTTGTTGATAGAGAAAGGGAGAAAGAAGAGATGGGCTTGTTCAGGGACAAGGGTGAGCAGTGGACTTCGAAGCAGGGCCGCCTTGAACATGTGCTCGCTCAAGTAATTGTCTAGTTTTGGGTGTTGAAAAGGGTTTTCGAGGGGAAGGAAAATGTTTGCCAGAGAGTTGCTTCTGTTAAACACATCAGGATAAACATAGATCTTCAAATGCTGCATCATCTCCTTAAAATCCGCAGCAAAAAGCTTCCAATTGTGATAGGGCCCGCTCCCCAACTCCTTTAAATGTGTGGTAGTGGCGGTGGTGATTGCGGTCAGCGCTGCCGGCGAAACGGTTACTGCTGGTCGCGGCGCCTCATTCGAACAATTCTGAAGATGATAATGCCGGTTTGGATGGAAATTGCTACTCTCTAAAGGATTTTTATACCCAAAAAAAGCAATGCTTAAGGAAAGTAATGCAGCAAACACAATCAATAGCAGTGTTCGCGGAAAGGGAAGGTGTTGTTTAGGCGGTCTACGCATTTTCATTCTCAGACAGAGATGCAAAAACAAGAGTGAAGGAAGGAACAATAGGTAAGCAGATAAAATTCGCACGACAAACCCTAGGCTGGGGCTGACTGCAGATTCTTATATTTTAGTTTATGCGTCGTAACTGGTAGCACTCTCTGATAGCGTGACGCATAGACACGGCGCTTTAGTAGCAGTTAATCAGTTACGGTTATAGCTGCTTGCCAGTTGCGATGTCGATTGCTATTTGCTAATGCGATTTTACATTTATTTAAGTTTGGGGCCGTGATACACAGTTCGCCTCGCCCCAGCGTTCGACTGTTATTATATACAATTTATTATACACCGTTCGACTCGCCCTTATTGTTTACCATTTCAGTGGATCCCACAAGCCAGGTGTGGGTCATCCGCACGCAGTAGTTTAATTGAGTGTGATTTGTAATACTAGTCAAATTAGAGGGTAAAGAGGAGATTTAATACTTTAAAGTTTTGGGCAAAATGATGGAGGAAATATTCAGTAATCCACTAATCTGCAGACCCATATTCACTATACCATACCTCCTCTCACATATAATCGAGACAGATCTGCAGCAAGAGATAAATAAAGGGAGGCCTTTATCTAGAAAGAGGTTTAAGAGTGATGGATTCAATTAATTCAGTTAAAGATAGTTATTTTGTATCAGTTCAATTCATCTCTCAGAAAAGAAAACGCGCAATCAATAATTTTCATATTCAAAGTAATTTGCATATTAAAAATAACAAGCCAATTCAAGAACAAGTGAAAGAGAGATTAGAGATCTAATCAATAGTGAAACGACTACAGAAGGAGCAGGGCGGCCGGCTAAGGGTGGCGGCAGCTGCTGCGTCGGACTTCTTTTATTTGATATCCCTCTCATTCCACTTTCGATTTTGTTTTGTTTGAGTTGTATGTTGGTTTAGTGAGAAATTGAGCTCAATAGAGCTTTATTACAATTTACTGCCGCCGGTTGCCGTGTGGAAAGAAGCAACAGCGTGTTTACATTGAAGGTGAGGTAGGTGTTGCAGAAGATGACTTTGCATTTACATTTCTACCCTTTTCATCTCAATATTAACAAGTGCAGTACACTTCTAGAATCCTGCAACCCTTTAGATTGTGATATTATATAATACAATAATTGTACACCGTTCGACTCCCCCCTACGTGTTAGTATTTTATTAATACAGAATACAGATATTATTAGTATTTTATTAATATTAATACATGCAGCATTTGTGTGTTATTAATTTTGAAGGAAACGCATCTGGGTGTTATTAATATAAAAAATATCCTTGGTGACATTAGTTTTTTTTTTTTTTTAATTAAAAAAAATCTGAAGGTAAGCAAATTCTTCCAGCAAGGCGAGCGCCCGGATTATGGTCTAACCAGAAACTTTCAGAACAAACAAAATACAGCGAGCGATCGATCTCCCAATTTGTCTTCTGAAATATTGTACAGATATAATTTGGATAAATAGGATGTTGAGTTGCCTCCATCGCCACCCAAATCTAATTCATTGTAGCTATCCCTTCTTCGGCTTATCCAATCATCGTCCTCTTCATTGCAATCATCGTCATGAGCACCGCCGTTGTTATATGGTATGTCCAAACGGTCCCCGTCATAGCAGCACAACCGGAATCTACTGTAACTATGACGAAACTGCCAGGAAATCGAACCAGTCATCTTCTTCTGGAATCCAACTTTACGGTCAGATTGAGAGGTACAAGTTATAACAATCCCCTAAGGATCCCTTACGTTCTTCCGTTATGAGAGAGAAAATATATATTATATATAGAATCTTCTTATTACAGATTACTTACGGAGACTGTGAGGCAATCCCAAGATGCGTGGGGTGGTTCAAAAGACTGGATTGAGGTCGAGGTATGCAGATAAGTTTTTGCATATTCATTTGAATAAGTGTTCTTGTTTTGCCATGATAAGTTAAGCATCACTTCTTGGAATCAAATCTGCACGGATTTTCTTACACACACTTAGAGCTCCCTTGTCTGGTTTCCCATGTTGGACAATGAATTTGATGCTGCCTGATTATTTCTCCTACGATAAAAATCTTTTTTGCTTGTATCCTCTAATTTCCAAATGGCTTTACTAACTTCCACTTACGGAGACTGACAATTTTTTTCTTTTCTTTTCTCTTTTTTTTTTTTTTTTTTTTTTTTATAAAAATTTTATTTGCTTGTATTCCTTAATTCAAATGGCTTTAAACTAACTTCCACTTACGGAGACTGGACAATTTTTTTTCTTTTCTTTCTCTTTTTTTTTTTTTTTTTTTTTTTTTTTTTGCCAGATGGATTCGCTAAACTTTTTTTTTTTTTTTTTTTTTTCTTTTGCCAGATGGATTCGCTAAACTGCACTGCTATTACTCTTATATTTCATAACATAGTTCTAGTAACTGCTTTAATAATTGTTGAGGATCTTTTATATCGGAACGCAGAGTTCCAACTCAAAACTGCAAGTTCAGCCTCCTATAGGTTTTAGGAGTTAGCCTTGTACTTTCTTTCCATATGAGGTGAGCGTCAAATCTTCTGAGATTGACTCTCCCCACTAGCTCTGCCTCGAGATCAAAGTGAATTGAGCACAGTAATGAATAGTGCACCCTGCACTCACAAATTCATAGCATCCATCAGAACTTACAAATTGTGGATCTCACATTTATGTAAGTGAGGGTGCACTGCACCAAGAGCACTTAGCAGTTAGGATGGGGGCCACTCCTATAGATTTATCTTGCTATGCAGGGTTTATACTCCCTGTTTAATAACTGCCCAAACTATCCACTATGAATATTCTTAGTTCCCCTATTTAACTAGTTATTGTTATATTATCGCAGGGAGCATGGGTTCTCAAACCAAGAATCTCAAGACCCAAGTCAGTTGTTCATTTCGTTGGTGGTATATTTGTTGGTGCAGCTCCTCAACTTACCTACCGTTTGTTTCTTGAGCGCCTTGTAGAAAAGTGAGTTTCTGCAATAAGATGCTGATGATATTGACTTCTACACACAGTCAACAAATATATGATTTTACTCACTAACGAATGGCCTAACATAATGGAGTCTCTCTCTCCCCTATGATAATTCAACACTGAAATTTCATGTTAAAACATTTATATATCATACTAATGAAGTACACAGCATTGAGATAAAATCTCTTCCTTTGACAAGTTTTGTTCTTATTCATGGAATATAATTGGGATTTGTCCTTGCAATATTCTATTTTGCCAATCAATAAGTACTGTAGCAATCTTCTGCTGGTGAATTTAGTTGGTTCATCTGTTGCAGATAACTAAGGACATTGATGATAAATATTATTTGGGTGATTTAGGGGTATTTTGGTTATTGCCACACCATATGCCAGTGGATTTGATCATTTCTTCATTGCGGATGAAGTACAGTTTAAATTTGATAGGTGTTTCCGGTTTTTACAAGAAACAGTGAGTTTCTTATATTCATATTTTAGCAAATTATATTTCCATTTGTTTATGGGAGAGGTAGGGATTGAAGCAAATAACCATTAAAATGCTTTGTTATTCAGGTACAAGATCTCCCTACTTTTGGCGTTGGCCATTCATTGGGATCAGTTATCCACCTTTTGATAGGTATACATGCGAGTTTTTCTATTTCTTCTCATCTAAAAGTTGCAATTAAGTTTACTAGGCATCTATTTATTTGCTTGACAAGACATTGATTTTGATCAGGATCACGATATGCTGTGCAAAGAAGTGGGAATGTGTTGATGGCGTTTAACAACAAGGTATTTAACCTCTTGAAATTTATCCGTATATAGTACTGACTTGAGAAAAGCATTGAGTGCATTATTAGAGATAGAATTCTCACTATATGGCCACCCTAGGAAATTTCACCATGCTAGTGAAGTGAGGTGATTCATTGCATGCTTATGGACTGGGGTCAGCTCATTTCCTCCTTTACCTTTTCACCACAAATACATTGTCTATTAAGTGAAAGAATGAATATTCTCCTGTTTCCTCTCGTCTATTTTTTATTGTAATTCATTTATTTTCCTCTTTGGGAGCAAACTGATTGATGTGCACATGTTTAAACTTTGTTAGTCATCTGTGCACGTCACATGTTTCATCATATTCTAATATTTATTATTAAAATTCTTTTCTATATAGTTTGGGGTTAACAAAAATGTTTTTCTTGATTTTACAGGAGGCAAGCTTAGCCATCCCTTTGTTCTCACCTGTTCTTGTCCCTGTAGCCCAAAGCATTGGACCGTTTCTATCACAAGTTGCATCGTCACCAACAGTCCGACTCGGGGTGAGATTATACTCACTTTCTAAAGTCTGTAATTGTTTTAACTGGCAAAGGAATAAATACTCTCTCTACTTGGGAGAATTTAAACATCACAACATTCATGAGATAGCTTCTTCATTTATGTTGGATATGTTTAAATACACTTGTCTTGTACTATGAATTTGTTTGGTCCCAATTGTGTTTATCGTGAACAATTTCTTGCAGGCAGACTTGCAACCAATCTTTACGCACTGTCTTTTATTTATTTATTTTTATTTTTTCATTACTTACAATTCTTGCAGGCAGAGATGACCTTGAAGCAACTAGAGAACCTTAGCCCTCCAATCATGAAGCAAGTTCTTCCTTTGGTGGAGCAACTTCCCCCATTGTACATGGACTTGGTTAAGGGAAGAGAAGATTTTTCGCCAAAGCCTGAAGAAACTCGCCGACTTGTATGTGAAAGTTTACTTCAATGTAAAAGTTTGAACCATTGGGAAAATTTAACTAATTAAGTCAAACCTTTCTTGGGCTACAAAAACAGTGGAAGACTTATCATTTGCCATTTTTAATTGATGGTACAATCATGTTTTGCCCCAATAGCCAGGCATCTTGGCAGCTCTTGTTATCATTCTTTAGTGCTTGAAAATTGTTGATTAGAAGATCCTTAAGAGCGAATTGTTTTTTCAAAGACTTGAAAATTTTTCAATTTGCCACTCCCTTTTGTAATATTTAGTGTGCTTTATTAAACATTATTTCCTGTTTTTATCTTGTAGTCCTCATAATAAATGCTTTGTATTTCTGCAGATAAAGTCATACTATGGCATTTCTAGAAACCTTCTGATAAAGTTCAAGGATGATGGAATTGATGAAACTTCAACATTAGCTCAGGTGCTTAGTTCAGAATCAGCTATTAGTTCAATGCTAGACATGTCAATTCGCTTGTTGCCAGGAGATCATGGGCTTCCTTTGCAACAGGTAACAATTTACTTGGATAATAATCTAGTAGTCTTTATATAGTTTTTTCCTTTTCTTCAATGAAGTTACTCATTTTTGTCTCTATCATGTAGGCTCTCCCAGATGTTCCACCAGCAATGGCAGATGCAGTCAACCGAGGAAGTGAGTTTCTGGCAAATATGACAGTGGGAACTCCATGGGAGACTGTTGCCAAAGAAGTAGGCAACACATTAGGTGTAGATTCAAAGATTCTTCGTGCTGAAATTTCCAAGGACATTGACTTGCTTGTTGACGTGATCACGACATGGATGTCGTCAAATACAGGTCCAAAACTTTTGAGGCCATGATGTGTATAAATGCCAAACCGAAGACAGTGAAGCAAGGCAAATAGGGATATGCTAGAAAATAATGCTGTGGGAGTATGGTTTTTATGGTATTTTATTGTACATTCTGTAATTTATATGCCATGCCTAATCATAGAAGTAAAAGGAAGAAGGATTTCATCTGATTGAGAGTTGATAGATGCTTGTGTTTTTCCGTTGTTTTGCTTATTAATCTTCTATTTTGTAGGTTGTAATAGAAACATTGAGATTTCTATATATCTAAAAGAATGTATGAAACAGAAAGGCGTGTATTTTTCGTCCTACTTGTGTAATTCATAAGAATGGTCCTTTCAACCACGCTTGGACGCCGTGTTAATGTAAAGCTTGGTAGCTAAGGAATTATTTGTGCTGTGCATGTATCAGAGCAGACTCGGCAAAAATTTGGGCCACAGCCCAACGGAGGGGATGCTATTCTTTTTGTTAGTAGAGAAGCTAATGTCGCTGGCCAAAAGTTATGAATAAGCTGCTCGCTCCACAAGTCTTTTTCTTGTTCTGTAATCTGCATTACTGCTTAAAGAGAAGAGGGTGATTTACAGCACCGAGGGAAGCCAGAAATAGCTATGACCAGAGCTGGAAGTAACGCAATGTCTATAACAATGAGAACCCTCATTATCAAATCTTAAAAAGCTAGAGGCTAATTGGGTAATTTCACTTCCTTTTGTCTTTCACAAATCACAATTATTCGCCGCTTGCATTCATTGAAAAAGAAACGTGACCATCTAACCACAAGCAATTATACAAGTGAAATTGTATTTAAGCTGATGTTTGTGCTTAAAAATGGAAGCCTGGAAACTTAGCATTTGATGCAGGATCTGCTACCCGTCTTGGGCAGTTGTATTTATATCACTATCAGAACATTTACAAAGACTAACTTGGAATAAGAGTGGTCCCCACTAACATTTATAATAATAATTTTTTTATATCAATTATACTTTATTGAAAAATATATTTTCCTATGCTTTGAGAAATTAGAAACTCTTTTCTTCATAAGTACAACAACCAAACTGTGTTACCTGAGAGAACGCTGGATATTTACATTAAGCTGGAAGGCAAGGGCAGTTATCAAATACAATCTTCTAATCTCTCTAAGGAGATACAGCTAGACAAATTACATGATCCTTCCAGCCATCTATAGCACCTATTCTTCATGATATAGATACAAGCCTAGGCCGAACCTGGCACATGCTCTGCAAAAAGCTATTTCCTCTGCCGCAGCAACTGGATCAACAATGTTGCCATCACTGGATAATACTGTCCCAGTAGACTCACGGTAAGCCTGAATCAGCAAGCAATAATCATATAACATTTTTTTTAACTGAATAATTACACAGATTAAAGTAACCTAAACATGCAGAATCACTAATAAACAAGATAATGTTTTCTTCCCCAATGAATATTCTGTGAAACAGTTGTGGTTTAGTGCTTTGAAAGTTAAGCAATAGAAGAATCTTTTACGTCACTTAACACTGATGATGTATAAACATTATCACTTCAACAACACCTTTGCTAATCATTTTCAAATCGTCTATTCATGTTTCTCAGCAAATTGCAAAAATCATTACTAGAACATTTGGTTTCACATGTTTAGTTATTTCAATCACAAAGAAGGTCTACAAACAGTGGAGGATTTAGAAAAACAGAAAAAAAAAATCCCAGGTTGATGCATAATAAAATATTATAAAGAGAGTTTAATCATAATGTTAAGTGTAATTTGCACATTGTCAAATACATATACAACTACTTTATTTGTGGTCAATTTATATCGCAACAATAACTAATTCTTAATTCAAACTAGTTAGGATCGGACAGGAGACGACCAAATCATCTCAGACATAATTCTTTCATTTTATCCCAATGTATTACATTTTTGTCATGTATGTTGTTTCTTATCTTGTCCGATTTGTATTATCTTGTGAATATCTTGAATTTATAAGTCCCATATTCGCTCCCATATAACATTGTTGTTATGGTCCCAAATTTGGATCTAGTTATAGGCCTTTGAATTAGGGGATCAGGTTTGAGATGAGTATCTTAGAAGGAGTTTTCTTCCTTCTATCAGTGGTGACAGACTTAGAGAGAATCTGCAATCTCCTCTTATGAGAGAATTGAATTCCTAGAGCTCGTTAAGAAGAGAACTCTACAATATCTGAGTTTTAGGAACTCAAAACATTCTTTCAATAATTCTCGCTTACATTTTTCCTGATATCAACAACCTTTTAAATTAACTAAATGCAAGGCTAAAACTACCCACTACCCACTAAATACATAAATAACTTGCTTAACCACCCCACTAATACCCATTAACAAAGAAACTGATAATAACATGATAAACACTGAATAACTAAATAAAAACACCGTGAATAGCAGTAAAACTACCCTAAGTCCAGCAGTGCTATAACAATTGTTGGTCTCATTGCTATTATATTGAACTTGGCTTTTATTAAGATATCTTCCTCTCATATAACCTAGCTTTAGCACTCCTCTATATTTTAATTCTATGAGTTACATCATCATCTAGCATGCCCCCCTTATGAAACACATCCCATATATTTGATTTGGTTGCACTTAAGCACCAGAATGCCATTTAATCTCACCTCATTTCCATTCTTTATGGGGCAAAAACCACTGTGCATATATTCTATCTCAATTCTTCTTAACCTAAAATATCACTAACAAGTGTATTTCTCCATTCGAACTTATGATTTACTCCATCACAGGTTTTATCAATTACAGGATTGTTTATGAGGGCTGAATTCTGAAAGCTAAATCTAAATCTATTATCCTATTGAGCTTAACGATTAAGAAGTGGTAACAAGAGCTAATTGTTGAATGATTAATAAGTGGTGCATTTTATAATTGTAAGGGCAATTTTATTTTTTCACCAAATAAGTTACATAGTTTATTGAATCAACTCCAAAAAGAAGCTTTTTCATTTAAGATAAGCAACTTATTGGTTCAGCTCAAACAAGCTTATTTCTTATTACCTAAATGAATAAGTTGGAGGTCTACTAAACTGTCAATAAGCTGAACCAAACGGCTCCTAAGACAATTTCTTCTATGAATAATATACATATCATCTTATTATTAGTTAACTTATCCATAACTAAGGTAAACAAATACCAACTTAACACAGATCCTTGATATAGTCTAACAGTTATAGGAAACTCCTATGTACTCCCTTTACAGTTCTTATACTTGTGAGTGCCCCTTCATACATATCTTTAATGGCATTTACATATTTAATAGGAATTCCTTTTTTTTTCCAACACCAACTAAAAGACTTTTCTATGAAAGCCATATGTAGATCATTCTTCTTCCTATAAATTCCATCAATCTTTTTAGCAAAAATACAGCCTTTGTTATAGTTCTACAAGCATAAAGCCAAATGGATTATTTGACACTTTTGTAATATCCCTAATTCTATGTTTTATCACTCGTTCTCGGAGTTTCATCATATGACTCATAAGTTTAGTACTTAGTTAGGTTGTACAACTTTAAATATCTTCCTTGTTTTTATACATAGCAATCAAAGTGCTCTTTTTCCACTAGTTTGTCATCTTTCCACCTCTTAAGATAAGACTCTTTCAGATCTTTATGAGGATACCATCTAAGCCACATGCTTTTCCAACCTTCAAATTTTTCATCATGCCCTTAACTTTAGTAGGCTTAATTGTACGAGTGTAGTTAAGTTTTTTGTCTATCACGGAGATATGAATATTTGTAAAGTCATCCTCGTGGCATGAGTTGAATAGCTACTCAAAATTACATCTTCATCTCTCCACAATCTCCCCATCTCCTATCAAAATCTATTGGGTATCATTTTAATAAACTTAGCTTTATTTAGGTCCTTATCCCTTTTCACTCTCAATCGTGCTAGTTTGTACACTTCCTTCTCCCACCTCGAATGTCTATAGCTTTTGGTACAGGTCCGCAAAGGCTTTACTTCAAGCTTTGCTAATTGCTTTCCTAGCTTCTCTCTTTGTGCGCTTATATTCTTCCAAACCCTCCCCATTTATGTACCAATATCATTTTGTGTTAATGGCTGTTTGTACTTCCACATCCCATCACAAAAATGTGGTCGAGGTCCTGATCCTTTAGATACATCCAGCATTTTCAGTTGCTACTTTCCTAATGCACCCAGTCATTTCCTTCTATAGGAGATCCACGTTAGCTTCAAAGAATCATTACGTTTTCTAGATTTTACTTACTGTTTTTTTAAGACATGTCAGATATTGTTTAGTCTTTATAAAGTTTTACAAGCATATTTTACATTAGTTACCAGTCCATGAGCATGTTTGTCATTGCTAGTAGCAATAATAATGCCAAACATGACCCAAGTACCTTTCACAGAATTGGAAAAATTTTAGTATAGAACAAGGTCCTCGATGAAAGCTATACTGGACACAGAACCAAACCACAAAGAACATAAGACAAACCTCTCCATCCGATCCTCGTATGGTAACACGGTATACCACAGTCACGCTTCCATTGTCAGAAAATATAACATCTCGTATCTCTCCACACCATCCTGCCAAAATGAATGTTAAAAGCTAATTTATTTTAAGGAAGAGAGAAAATTTGTGCATATGTAATTGAACCACAAGAAAAGTAGAGGGAATTCTGCAAAGTTGCAAATCTTTTATAAGCTGGCTAACTGTAGTGGCATACTTTCGACATGATATTGCATTCGATTTATGAGAATGAGGAATAGGAACAAACAAGGCAAGGAACATGTTAATTTGAGCGTAAATCAGAAAATCGAAACAAAGAAAGCATCATTATTTAGACCAATTATACGCTAACTTGAACATGGAAGGTAAGAAAACGCTAATCGGCGAGATTCAGTTTTAAGAGAAATTCAGTTTTAAGAGGGATTGAGATGGTGCAAATTGGAGATGCAATTATGAAGTAGTATAAGTAATATTTAAAACGTACGACTACGATAAGAAAATAAAACAAGAGGGAAGGAACAAACCAGGCGCATAGAAGCTAAGCATACGGTTGGCATGGTACCTGTTGAAGAAAAACATAAACCCTCAAGATCAGTAACAGATCAACGACTGCTTAGGCATTTGAAATATTAAATTCGATAAGAAAACAATAATCTAATAACGAAAATACCAGGGGATGTAGGTGGTGACTGGGGACGATGGCTTGATGATGTTGTCGGGAATCCTCTTGTTAAGATCACGCAGGATCTCGGCGAGAGGACGAGTGATGCAAGATGAGTAGGAAGAAGAGAAGGATTTATCCAAGGGCACCACATAATTCGAATTTGGCACGCCCTTCTTCTTATTACCATCGCTGCTATTGCTATTATTGTTGGCAGTGTTACCACCAACCGCACATACAAGCCGCAATTTAGATCGCCCATTCCCTACACACACGCCTCCAAACTTGTCTTCGAAACTGCTACTGCTCATTCGACATGTTGACAATGGAAACAGCGGTGGAGACTTGGATTTTGCAAGAAAAACGCTGCTGTTTGGCACTGCCATTATCGTAGCCGACGACTCTCAGCTCTATTTCCAAATCCCGACTGGTAGATGATAAATCAAATGGCCAACTACTCAATTTTGTGTACATATATCATGGCGAAGGGACCAGAATCGGACCGACCGGTCGGTCCGGTCCTTCTCAGACAGACCGGTGGCGAAGGATTGAAGGTTAGAGTGTCCGTAATCTAACGGATCGAATTGGTATTTGATTAATATATACTAAATATTATATAAAATGTTAAAATAAATTGAAAGTAATGAAAAATTTAACAAAATAGATAAAAAAATATTATAATAATTAAATTTCAATACAATAATAATTTTTAACAAATAAATATTACTATATCATAAGCATTTAAATAAAAAAAATAAAAAATTTCTTTTAGTCCTTCCAACACATTTGTATTGTATTATAATTTGCATTGCAACTTACCATAATCTATCAGGTAAGCTGTTATAAGCTGTGATTACGAAAATATTGGATTATTGTTTGTTAATCGGTGTAAGCGTTGGTCAGCCGTACGATAGGTGGTCTCAGTATTCAATAGTCTCTAATTACAAGTATTAATCGGTAAAATGAGTAGATTACTAAATCTTATTTCTAATAATAGGTCTTTGAATGTTAATGACCTAGTTCTAGCCTTAGTGATCTGAAAATCCAAGAGATGAATATCGCCGATGTGGAGAATCAGTTACATAATTGTTCTGTCCCACAACATGATGTTAATACTATTTTACAAAATTGGTTCTTTTAATTTCTTTCTGATTATTCAAATAAACAGACCGAACAATCTATTCCATTAAGCTATATGCGTGAAAATATTCAATTATTTTCTCCCTAAGCTATTTTGAAGCACAAAGAAAAATATAAATTTTTGCATATAAGTATGGTTCAAGTTGCAATTAAACATTTATTTCGAGTTGGTTTAGATATGCAAAACATTTGAATTTTTCAAATTCCCTTTTCGCTATGATTGAATCTAATTTAGCTAATGGTCCTATTTATTTTAATTGTTATCTGAACTTTTTTTGTCTCTTTATGATCCAAATATTCTAGATGTTTTAACTTCAACAACTAAATCAAAAAAAATGAATTTTTCAAATAATTCTAGGTCTATAGTAGTTATATATAGAATTTAAGTATATAAAATTTAAGTTATGACAACTACTCTAGATCATAGATCTAGACACACTTTAACTATGAATGAAACAATTATTTTTGAAGCTAATACCCAACATACAGAAGTACACTCCTAAAAGGTTAAAGTGGCATGAATTAACCTGAGAAAATTCATGGAATCTCCAAAGAATTAATCATCCAGTATTTGTTGAAAATATTTGTACTTCCTTTAGTATTGTAGAAGATACCGATGGAAGTATTCATGTTCAATTCCTTCCTTTAGAAAATCCTAGTAGATAAGTATTTAGTAACGAGAACACAAAGTTATCTACATCTACCGCTAAATATTCAATTACAAAGTGTAGATTTTAATAAATCTATACGTAGACTCATATATAAAAAAGTAGAACAACCAATTAACTATTTACCTTCCTCTCCCGCGGGATCTTTATCTCCTACAAAATCCTACTAAAAAATTTCTTTTAGTCCTTCCTACACATTTGTATTTTATTATAATTTGCATTACACCTTACTATTTTTACATTTTTTTAATGGTAGAGAATAATTTCATTTTAAGATTTAAATAAATTCAATAGCTAATTTGTATTTAAACTGCTTGTACTTTGTGATACATCTCACAATATGTAATACTATAATACCAAATAAAATTCAAATAGAACTATTGAATCGTAACTTATATTTCATAGAATTTATGAATAATTTATAATTTTAATTTTCATATTTTGATCGAATAAAAAAATTATTATACATCATATTGTAAAGAATTTTTATTTTACAATTTTTAATCCAATAATTTTTAATTTATAAAATGAAAGATTACTTGTGAATCTAAATTTAAATAGGAGGTGCACACTTTATTAGTTCAATTTAAGGCAAACCGAAGTCAATCAAAAAAATTTGAACGTTGAAAATGGAACCGATTCGAATCATAATTGAGTTCAAAACTGAATCGGTTTGATTGGTTTTACATATACATTTTAAGATGGTTCATCTAAGCCTACCTTCTTGAACTTCACCAACAAAAAAAAAAAAAAAAAAAAAGGCCAAACCGAAGTCAATTCAAAAAAAATATTGAACGTTGAAAATGGAACCGATTCGAATCATTAATTTGAGTTCAAAAACTGAATCGGTTTTAGATTGGTTTTACATATACATTTTAAGATGGATTTCAATCTAAGCCTACCTTTCTTGAACTTCACAACCAAAAAAAAAAAAAAAAAAAATCCTAGCGAAGATTTATGCCTTGCTTATTCTTTGCTATTTCAGACTCTAGCGCATATAATAATAAAGAATTCATTATAACTCAGAGTAGATATATTGGGCCAATTTTAAAAAAAAAAAAAAAAAAAAATCCTAGCGAAGATTTATGCCTTGCTTATTCTTGCTATTTCAGACTCTAGCGCATATAATAATAAAGAATTCATATAACTCAGAGTAGATATATTGGCAATTTATACAGTCAAACCCAACTAGTTTGTGATTAAGGATTAGATGTTGCTTGCATACAGTTAAGAACTACTTCTAATTTTCTACTGATGTTCTTAAAGGGACGCGCATATAACGCCCCAAGTTAAAGCCCAGGATTAAAGGATCTGTCTATAGATAATCCTAGAAAGATTGATGGAGATTAACTTGTAATACAAAAGAAGTGCAAGGGCAGATTTGTCTCTTCATGTCGGGACTCTAATGACCTGCAACAAAATTTTCATTGTTCTTTTACCTAAATAAGATTTAATTAAATCAATCCAAAGGCAAGGAAGTTCCAGTTCCAACCTTTCCAACCTTCCCATGGAAAATCAGCTCCACTTCTCTACGAATGTTTTCCACATCCATCACATAATCATTATGATATTCCTCTACCATTGAATCTTCCAGTTGTTGCCTCATCCTCTCCAAAGCACCATCCAGGCCACAGAAGTCCTTAAAAATCAAAGCTTGAGTTGTACTGAGTTGCAGGAGATTCTTGATAGCAACAAGGGCCTGAAATAAACCACATGGCAAACCTTCAGCAGGCAAGAGAAAACAAGCTAGAATCAGGTATCAATAGGCATGGGTCTCGACCTCCCTAGCATGGTTGACAGAAACATAAAACTAACACCTTTCACAAAAAAAACATCAGAGGACGAGATCCATCTAGTTCAGCTTAGAGACAGCTGTTTGCAAACCCTCCAAATGCACAGGCGAAAGCCAGCAATCAAGTACTAATAGTGTGTATAAGTCTGGACCACCGTAGCATTGTCAATAGAAACTAAAATTCATCACCCCCCACAAAGCCATATCCAGTGCTCTACCACCATCTTCTGGTGTGTGAACAGGTGATATTCGTAAGGGGTTACCCATAAATAAAAGGTTCGGAATGAGCAGTGCTCCAAACAGTTGTGCCTGCTGCAAATCTGAAGCCTCAGCTGTCTGTAGGCCACAAGTTTCAGAAGTATGTACAATCATGCTCTTTGAAAGTTTCAGACACTGCGATCTCAGCAGCTGTCCATCATTGTCCATGCAGGACTCTTCAAGATGGATGGCTGAGATACAGTTACAAAATCCCAACTGTGCTAATTAAATTAGCAAAATACAATTCAGAACTAAAGCATGTTCTACTATGCCAAAAATTAACATCAGCAGCAGCAACACTAGTAATGCTGAAGAGTTACCTTTTCCTGGAGATCAAGGTCAGTTGTTTCTGTCAGATCAACTATAGACTTCAGGAATAAGTGATTGCTGAAGAAAGGCAACTCAAATCTCTGGGCATTTTCAAGTTGACTTTCAGCCAGATCAGCAACCAAAAAAACAGCTTTCTTCCTGAGTCTGACATCAATGCTCCAGTTGCTAAGTATGTCCTACAAAGGAATGTTTAAAAAAAGAGCCATCAATTGCTGTTGTGAACACCAAATACAATGTTTTTGAGCATTTCACTGATTTAGGTACCTGAAGCATCCTATCTCCAGCTGCTGCATAAAACGTTTCCTGACCAGCCAAATTATTTCGAATCAATGCTGAAACAGCATAGAATGCTTTTATAGCTTCTTCTACATCAGTTGATTTTACCATCTCCATTAACTTGGTGAGTGCACCAAGATCCAAGATCTGACAGAGTTCAATATCATGAATTAGCCAAGAACACAAACCAAAGCACATGCCTTATTATTGACAATGCAGAAGACACCAAAACATTAGTGGAATTCTAAACTGGAAAAATATCATAGTAAGAGAACATTCAACAAGTTTGAAACAGAAAATAATATGCCTGTTTCTGGACAGCTGCATTGTTTTGACTTGCTTTCCCAAGAATCCATGCAGAAATTCTCCTCATATCTGGATCAGGGTGATTAAGCTCTCGTATTAATACATCGAACCTGCCAATTTTATCCAAATCTGGTATACATAAAAAAATGCAATGTGTTAGCTCCTAATATTGCACCAAAAGGATAAACAAAAATGGCAAATTCAGAACCCAGGAAAAAACTCCCATGTTAAATAAATTAAGATCATACAATGTGGCAGTCTCTCAGTTATACTGGATCTTGATACAAATAACAAACAAGTGAAAGGAAGTTCAATATCCCACCAACTGGCTCGTCTTTATCACCAAGATGTGATTGTAATTGTAACTAAAATAAAAAGACGAATAATATGAAAAGAACCTAATTGCAAAAATGGATTTTTGCCTCTTCAGAGTGGAGGGGTTGTTGGGGCTAGGAAGAAAACGATACTCTCACTTTCCTAGTGTTACTGTAGACAGAGTATCTCAGCAAGTAATCCATGGTCCATGTGTGCCACCTCATTCCACATCTAAAGCAACTCAAAAAAGCTAGAGGAAATCTTATCCAAAAATTGGATACACTAGGAATTACCAAGCGAATTATATGTTGAATAGTGGAAAATTGTAAGGATAGAATTGCAATCCATGAATATGATATCTATCTAGCGCGTCAAACGTCACACTATATTTCTATTGATTATACCATGGACCTGGAACATTTGGTTAGTGTGCCATACATAATCTTCTCATATATTATATATTGATCAGTAATGTCATATAGGCCAGGTGTTACAAAGGTTGAATTCCATGAATATTATATTACTATTGACTGGTAATAAAACAGAGGCCCAGGTACACCTTTATAACCTTATAGTATACCATGAATTGACCAATTCATTTTTAGAAGGCTGCAACTTCCTAAATATGGCAGTTTCTGAATGGACGTTGTGCTTGCAGAAATTATTTAGTAATCAGAAATGAAAAAAGAAGATACATGCCAATGATCTTGCAGCTGTGATACTTCCACTAAAAAGATAAAAAATCAAAATAATGTAACAAAGCCTCCACTGTATTGTAGCATGGACCAAATTCAACAAACATGATATCCCAACCATGGTAGCAGCAAGTCCAAGGTGTATGTTATGTTCTCATTTCCATTTTAATAAAATTTATGTATTGGTAATCAAGGATCCAAATACAAGGTGGGATGACCACAGAGATTCCATGTAGAGTGGAAAATTTTGCACCAGCTACATGAATAATATGAGCTCAAGACCAAGGGCCACATTGCAATTCAAAATCCCAACAGAATTATTATCACTAGCGGCCAGAAGGTGCTAGTTTACGGAGGCATTAGATTGACACTTGCAATGTCTTTCGAGTTGAGCACAACAGAACTAACAGCAGAGCTTTTCAGTAACATATAAAAGAAGTGTTATAACTTAAAACTTAACATGATTAAGCATAGCTATTTCACAATCTTCAGAGCTAGCCGATGCATACAGATGGTGCCATGAAAAAAGATATAAAGAATGAGCATATTTTAACCACATCTCTCTGGGAAAAAATGTTTAAAAAATGCAAAATAATCCTTTAAAAGCACAAGAGTAAAGGAACAAGAAGGTTGTATACTAGTAGTGAGTAGTGACTGCCTATCAATACAATGGACCTGGGCCTAGTGATAAAAGGTGGGAGTGGTAAAGGTAGATAGCAACTCATCTTGATGAACTGAAAAATAAGTTGTTAATAACCCATTAGCCACACGGAGCGTGCCAATTCCTATTCAACCTTTTATAAACCAGTTACTAATCATACATGAGGTGAAAAACAAAAAATCTGGTACTCTTGCCATAAGTAAGCGAATTGGACCATTCACACATATTCTCTATTTACAGTGAACACTGAACAGTAATTGAACATTGAATATTCTGGTGGAAGTAAATATATCCTCCTTCACAAACAAAGACCAGAAAAATAGCAAACCAATGATAAATTGAAAACCAGAAACAATATGCTCCAGTCAAATTAGTTAAAGTTGATAGACTCACACCTACCATTTGCATTATCAATTGGCTCCACAAGAATTAGAAGCTCCTGTAATGCACGGTGCCGATCCTCCAAAGATAAAGAAGTGTTATTTAAGTCATCTATTGCTTTCTGCATCAACTGGGAATCAGATGGCATTCTCAACTTGTCCATCAGCTCCTATGTCATTGAGTATCACACAGATACTTCAGTAAAAGAATAAGTAGTTTAAAAAATCAAGAACTTGCAAGAGCTATAGCATATGCCAGGGAATGGAGAAGTGCCAATATATATTGAAAGTTTCAGATAATCAAAAGACGGTAAAAATAACTTTATATGCTAATGGAAACTTTTCTCTTATCTATCCTTAATGTAACCACCAAGAGAGTGAGATTGTTTCCTTATGTTCAGAGCTGAATTATGATACCCAACTCCAATTTTTGGCAATAAGGGCTTGTTTGGTTTAATTCGTTCCAGTTGTTAGCTAATAACAGTTGTTTGTGGCTGATAGTTGTTAACAAATGAATTAGGGTCATTTGGTAAAATTTCAGTAGCAATTGCTCTTAACCAAAGAAGAGAATGTCAATATTATTTCTGGAAAAGATTTGTAACGAAACTGGAAGTGGCCTGATGATACTTGCTTAGAAAGGTTAGTGGAAATATGTGCAACCAACTCGGCTAACTACCAACATTGGATGTGCTAACTAACTAGCTAAAAAGAACAGTTTAGCCAACAAAGTAAAAATCAAGCTACAACTAATTCCATCCCTTATCATCACTTCCTAACACCTTAAGAAGCGAGCAATTTCATTAAGCTATAAAACATATCAGACAAAATTATAAAAATTTTACATTCAGAAACTATAAGATCAAAATTGCAAATTGAAGACCGCCACAGAAAGCTAACCTTAATTTCCATCTGACGCTTCTTCAACTCACTAGGAGACAGGCGCTGGACATCTTGTGCATTTTCCTTTAATTTCTCTGGATCGGAATGACCTGATTCATTAAAGACAGATTATGCAGTCATACGTTTATGCATAACTAAAAAGCGTAAGAAACTGACCTACAAAATATCCCAATTCAGACACCATAAAAGGATTTAAAAAATAAACAACGAGTTGCAAACTAGCAGTGTAATATCGAACTACAGTTTCCACTTTTCGTATAGCAGATTTTTTTCTCCCAAGTAAAAAGAAATTGCACCTCCTTGTACGTTTCAAATATTGTAAAACACACTGCTGCTGCTGCAATCCAATGCGTTTAAAAAAAAAATTGTACAGTTAGCTAGATACAAACCAATGGCCCACTGTAACATTCCATCTAGAGAAGAGAAACCACCGTCAAGGCCATCAGGGTCACTGACGGCGACAGCAGCGGAGGAATCTTTGTCGGGTTCAGCCTTGAGCATAAGATCAGACTCCTCTTTTGCCGATGACCAAAATAGACCGCCCGTTGAAGGAGTGATGTTAAAACGCTCCCCTTCAGCGACGCCGATTACCGTTACAGTCATGAAGGCTGCTAAGATTCCAATTACGCCAGCCCCTGCTGCTGTCAGCCCCATCCTGCCGTTACGTGCCCCTTTACCTCACCTAGCTACTCCGCTGATTGCTAATTTCTACTAGATAATTGAATCAAATAAAATAAACAACCAACTACTGGTGCAGTAGCGCATCAACCAAAATCAAAAATTCAAAATATGAGAGTTCGCAGAAATTGGACCGCTTGGCCTACGACGGATGATGACTACACCTTTCCAGAGAAGGGAAAGTATACCTACAAAAGTTTAATGAATAAATAATTTATTGCTGTTTGAGTTAATTGAGGGACTTTAATTATATGACATGTCATTTCCTGTAATCTGGACCCCTGATCGGTAATCAAGCTGTCTTCGCAATCTCGAATGTCGCCTTGCCTTACTTCGCCTGCGAATCAAATAGGTAGAAGAAAAGGACTCCATTTGTCCTTGTTTGGCTTGCACATAGGGTAAGAAACTTTAGTTAATTTGTTTCATTTTTTTCATAATACTATATTATTATATTAGTATGTCGATGAAAATTAAATTATCCATATTACATTGTTTCTAAAATTATTAAATATTTAATCAAATATAATTTTGTTAGAAGATTAAATGTTGATGTATTAATTTTTATTTTATATTAAGATTTAATTAGTGATAATATAATAATTTAATTATTATATTTATTGACAATAAGCATATTAAATAATAATAAAATAATAAATTGAAAATATTAATAATTTGTGACCCACGAAAAAGAAATCTGATAAAAGTACCAATTTTTGAATGTAACACACAAATTCGTCAAAAAAAATAAGTAATAATCATTTTGAAAACATTTTAAATATTATTTTAAATAAATAACAATATTTGTCAGGAGTTTAAATATTTAAAATATTTTATGATTTTGTTTGAATGGACTTAAAGCCTTTGAAATTTCAATTATGGTCAACTCTTTTCACTGTCGTTTATCCCTCCAAATCATCAAAGGTCATTTTTATTAGTAGTATAATGATTATGGATCATTCAATAATTGAGAAAGGTGATAATCATTATATATAGCAACGAATGGCAAAAAAAAAAAAAAAAAAAATTTATCCCTCCAAATCATCAAAGGTCATTTTTATTTAGTAGTATAATGATTATGGATCCATTTCAATAATTAGGAAGAAAGGTGATAATCATTTAAATAGCAACGAATGGCAAAAAAAAAAAAAAAAAAAAAAAAAAAAAAAAAAAAAAAAGCCAAGGAAACAATAGTAAGTGAACTTATTAACCATGAAAATAAATCAATGAATATACACAAAAAAATAATTACTATTAATTTTGTTATAAGTTAAAATAGTAGGTTTTCAATTTATTGAATACAACTTCTCCTTTAATATATACATTTTAATTTAAAAAATTTTATAATTTAATCTACAGTTCCTATGGTTTAAAAATTATTCATATTAAAAATAAATTCAATTACGAATTCACATAATCCTCGAGTTTTATAATTTTTGTTATGATTATGAATTTAATTTTATGGGACGTCCATCACTCTCAAAATTAATTTAACAGTACTTGTCCTTATTATCGGAGACATAATTGTTCATTATTTATTTCAATTTCTAATTAAAATATGAGTAAGATATTGTAATAAACTCAAATTGTTCTATTTGTGTCTTATTGTTATAAAAGATACGATTTTTAAAATAGTGAGATTATGATTTTTGGAAACAAATAATATTAATTATCTCTAATTGTCCACTTTTATTATTATTATTATTATTATTTTATGTAGTGTGGTAAGTGATCATTTGACATTGCTATAGAGAAAGTAATGAGGCAGCTGGCAAATTAGCAAACTTGGTTGTGGATACCGGTAATGGTTGGTAAGTCTTTCACCATCCCGCTTATTCAAGGAGCAATTATATTTTTATGCTCAATTTGTTACGAACGAATTCAAAATATGGAATTGATTTATAAATAAATTCTATTAAAATTTATTTATGAATAAATTATTTATTAAATTCCATATAATTATGCAGGGAATAAATTTATAATTAAAATTTCATTTGCTTTTATTTTTTAAAATATCCTTGAAATAATATTTTTTATAAAAATAAATAACAAATACCAATTATATTTCTGTTAAGCTATATAATTATTTTATATTTTATTAAAATAAACATATAAAATAAAAGTAATATTAATAAAATTGTTGCATTTAATTTAATGATAAATGAATATTTAACTTGAATTTCTCTCATCAATAGTGAAAAAATGTTAAAAAATATTTAAATAAAAATACAATAATAAGAAAAAATTTCTCTAAAAAAATAAAAATTTTAAAAGATTTTGATCAAGTTTGATAAAATAAAGGGTGGCATTATTTTCAGAGCATTAATTGTTAACGCGAGAGCAATAACATTCTATTAATATCACTTGACAAAATTGCCTCTTAACAAATTTATCTCTTTTTTTCTCCCTTCTTTTTTATCTCCACAGGAACATTTAATTCAGTTTTTAAAAAGAAAAAAAAGGAAAGAAATAACTAAACAATCTAAATAAATTTAATGCTCAAATCACCATCACTCAACACCAACATCATTTTTTCTGGTCCAAAGCTCTCTTTTATTTCCTAATAATATAACATTACTTTACAAATACCATGCTTTGATTAAAATGGAGAAAAACAAATTATAAACTTATTATGTATTCAGGCCCTGTTTTTTCTTATTCTTTGTATCTTTTCATAAATAAATTGGGATTAATATTTGGGAAATATCTCTCTTCAATAAAGCAATTGAAGTATTGTCTTGCTGCAATTTTTCCATAAATCCATTTTTAACTTGTCGATTGCATATTTTTTTATCAGATAAATTTGCTATAGCAAGAACTTTGTGTGAGAACTAAGTATAGCAACCGAATCAAAAGCATTCATTTATTTAGATTGTTTAATTGTTTCTTTTAATTTTTTTCTTTTTAAAAAATTGAATTACTGCTTCGGTGGAGATAAAAAAAAAAAAAAAAAAATAAAAAAATTGAATTACTGCTTCGGTGGATATAAAAAAAAAAAAAAAAAAGAGAAGAAAGATAAATTCATTAAGGAGGCAATTTTGTCCAATTGATATTAATATACCAAGTTATTGCCTTTTGGCAAAAAAAAAAAAAAAAAAAGAGAGAAAGATAAATTCATTAAGGGGCAATTTTGTCAATTGATATTATATACCAAGTTATTGCTTTGGCATTAACAATTAGTATTTAGTGCTATGAAAATAACACCATCCAAAATAAATAATTTGACTTATTAAAAAAAGATGAAAAGTTGACTTCATAAACAGAGAATAATAATTTTGTCATAAAAAATTTGATTCATTAGTTTTGTAGAATTTTTTTTTTAAATCTACCTATTTTTGTGTGATTGAGTGTAATTATATATAATTTATGATTTCATGGAATTGAATGTCTAAAATTAAAATCTATATTTTTTTTTTCATTTCAAATATAAAAATATGAATTTTTAAACCAACTCCACCGAAAGAAGTGGCTAATGATGCTCGTGGTGCGACATGGCGTTGGCTGATTAACGCTCACTAGCCTCGCCTTTGTTCTTTTGCAAGGTCTCTGCTCCCTTGTATTAAAAAAAAAATAAAATGTTAAAATCAAATATATAAAATACTATTTCATTTTTTCTAATAGAGTTTCGGGTTAAATAATATTTTCATATAGGAATAAACTTATAACAACCAAATCAATAACATAAGTTGCATATATGTATACTTTCACTTTTTCTATTTGAAAAATTAATTATTTTAAAAAGATAAAAATACAAAATAAAATGTAAAAAGTTAATTGAAAATAAATGTATTTAAACTAAAAACTTTACTTAAACCCATTAATTTTATATATTTAAATTATATTTCAATTTTATGTTTATTATAACTGGATGTGATATTTTATTATTTAATATGACATTCAATTTATATGAGTCTTATTGGACTAATATTAATATGAATAATAATAAAAGCTTAAAAGTAAATTTAGTCACTTAAATCCTTTAAAATAATATCGGATGAATTCCAAGAGTAGAAGGGCTATTTGGACTTTGGTATTTAAGAAACGGGGAACGTAAATAAGGAAGTACAAAATACGGCAAAAAGAAAATTAAAGAGTCCCTTTACATTGTTTGTTCCAACTCGTAAGCGGTGCCTGTAACCCATAATCCAGTTGCTAAAGCAGCAGCTCGAGTTCAGAGTCGCCGCTAGCCGCTGGGACTGCCACAGGTGGACGACGGGTTAGCAGTTGTCTTGCTGGACATATCAATTGAAAAAGTGCAGTACAGGAGGATACTAGAGAAGAAAAGAGAAGGTAGCGATGGTCAGGCTCACAGCCGACTTGATTTGGAAAAGCCCTCATTTTTTCAATGCCATTAAGGAGCGGGAGTTGGATCTTCGAGGTGAGTTGCTCAGCTCTCTTTTGCTATCGAACCCTAATACACGCTTTCCGTCGCTATCGTTAATTACTTTGTATGTCTTAGGGCAAAGTAGCTATACAATGAACTTCCCAGTTCAGCTCAAACCAGTGATTTTCTAAAATTTCCTTTCTCTCCTTATGGTTTCAGGTAACAAGATCCCCGTTATAGAAAACTTGGGAGCTACAGAGGTACAATTTCTTTTTCCTCAGCATATTTTTATGTGACTATATTTTGTATACTTGCACTGCACTCCGTCCCAGTGGGTATCTAAGTTGTCCCTTTTTCATGGCCTGAATCAAAGCTTATTCATTCAAGTTATCCTTCCCTGAAGCTAATTCAAGCTCAAGCTCTCAGAAACAAATAAAAAAACCAGTCAAATTGGACAACAAGTTTCTTGTGCACCAGTCATTAAACATATGACCTCCTTCAAACTGAGTCTAGCTACTTAGCTTAATCCTTCAACTATATTATATAACAATACTTTTATATGTTAAAAACTTTATATTATCTGCTCTTTCATTAAGGAACTATAATTTCGCACCTTTTTTTACTGGCTTGTTGATAGGACCAATTTGATACCATCGATTTGTCCGACAATGAGATTGTCAAGCTTGAAAACTTGCCGTATCTTACTCGGTTGGGCACTCTGCTCATCAATAACAACAGAATAACTCGTATCAATCCCAATATTGGAGGTAATTTTGAATAATCTTTAAATTAATCTATTGATGGTATCCTAAGGAAAGACATTATACTTTATCCTTTTTTATTTTCTCATGTGCGGTTGAACTTCAAATATTGAAACCTCACTATGGTTTGTATTGCTTTATCATGTAGAGTTCTTGCCAAAATTACACACTTTGGTTCTTACAAACAACAGGCTTGTCAATTTAGTGGAGATTGATCCTCTTGCTTCTCTTCCAAAGCTACAGTTTCTCAGTCTTCTGGACAATAACATCACTAAAAAACCTAATTACAGACTGTACGTGATTCACAAACTAAAATCACTTCGAGTTCTTGACTTCAAGAAGGTAAAAAGCAAGGTGAGCTGAGCTGCTTGGCCCAAATTTATCTTTGGCTATTTTTTTGAGCATGCCCAAATTTTTAACTTACTTTTTTTAGACCTGGAGCTCCTTGCTTCAAAAGAAAATTAGTCTTTTAATGAAGTTTCTTCTTGATTAACATGCAAAATACAAAATTTAACCTTGTAAGCATTGAAATGTTCTTCAGTAATTTTCTTATAAAACTCATTGAAATTTGATTGTTGTATTGATAGTAAAAGGGTACGGAAATCCTTTAGAGGACAAGTTTTGAAGGGGCCTTCTTGATCAATTGACCTACTGGTACTTAAAAAGTTGAATGCATGCCGCTGCAGCACTTTGTTTTAGGAGCCATCACTGGTCAAAATTTTCACAACAAATGAATAATATCCATGTATTAGTGTTCCTAATATGAGCAAACATGAATTGTTTTGCAAGGGTTTAGGCATTTCCATGCAAATATCTTGGCTGCCTTAATCTATGTGAATTTCAACTGTTAGCTTATTTACCACAATGTCATGTTCAAGTGTTATTCTGGATTTAGAAGCATGTTCTCTAGTTTGTTTCTTACATTTCATGGATTTTGGCTCTTAAATATTCTTCTTCTTTGTTCTTTTCTCAAGCTGTATTAATGTTTTGCATGGAAAAAGCAAGGGCTTTGAACAGAGTGCTGTCATAATATAACTCTTGAACTATAAATTTTTTATGTGCTTATTTGAATTGATTGTCAATATTGTCCATGGGTGATAGGAGAGACTGGAAGCGGAAAATTTGTTTGCATCAGAAGAAGTTGAAGAGGAGGCAAAGAAGGAATCTGCCAAGACATTCACTCCAGGTGAGGTTCCAAATGTTACAGAAGTAGCCGAGGAACAGCAAAATCCAAAGGTGGTTACCCCCACACCTGAGCAAATTCTAGCTATAAAGGTACTTTGCTAACTACATCTAAGCACTTCATAATGTTGCGTTTTGATATTTGGTAAACAAATTAAGGTTATTTTAGTGCTGCTTTTACTGCTCAAACTTGCCGTTTAGAATGTAATCTGCTTTAAAAGATCAAGAAAAAGATTGTGTGATTATCTATGGTTAGCCATTTAGAAAGTATATAATATGTTTTTGCTAAAATTTAGTTCCTTTTCGTTTTCTCTTTGGCTATAAATGACAAGTCTTGCAATCTTCTTCCAGGAGGATGAATTTTAATCCGTTTTACGTAGTTGTGTTAGATGGATAGAGAAACTCTTTGCAAGTATTTGCTTTCTAGTTTAGAGGTTGTAAAATGATAACCGTGGTGCATTGATTAACTGGTTGTTGGTACTTATGGTTTCAGTATCATTTGTAACAATGGTGTTGATCAATGTTTTAAAGTTTAATTCCCTGAAAAAGGGACTCGGACTAGTCAATTTAGGGGTTGGGTTTGACAAAATTTACGTTAATGGATGGTGTGGGGTGGAAAGAATGAATAGTTAGGGCTTGAAAGATTGATATTTGGAGACTCTATGAAACTGTGAGTGGAAAAACTAATTGCAAAATATCTCAGATGATGCAGGAGCATTAAAGAATGATGTAGGATCATCAATTAGGAGCATGCATAAAAATTAATTAGGATTGGTCTTTTAGTTTTCTACCTTTAACCTTCCTATTTGCTAAAGAATGTGAAAGCCTGTAGTCTATCCAAATTCATAGTTAACCAAGTTAATTAACGAGGAATTCTAACAGTCCTTGACTTGGTTTGGTTCTAATTAGTATAAATAGGAATTCTATGGCCAACTTTAAAATTGTATTTTCTCTTTCAAACTCAGAATTTTAATTCCAAATTTTCTTTAAAACCATTTATGTTATATTGTTCCTATCACAATCACCCTATTCTGCTCAACTTGTTGAGAAGTAATTACCCTAAAACTCTTCTGTTATGCCAACTGGTAACAAAACCATCGTCTATGGTTTGGTAGAGGCAGAGATTGTGGTAGAGGCAATCAGCCCCAACAAATAGAATTTGCTACAATGCGGAGAATGATTGAGGATTTGACCCAAGCTATGGAAGCCTTGCAGTGACAGTATCCTGTGGAATGAATGACTTGAGATTCGAAAGTATCTTGGGTTGAAGATGAAGTCGAGGATGTGAACCTTTTTCACGAAGCTTGACCTGCAAACCAAGTGGCATGAGGTGGATTGGAAGAGCATATACTACATGCCCTTAATTTCAATTCTAATGTTTTCTTTAAGACTAGTGATCTTATATTGTTTCAACCGCAATCCTATTCTAGCCCAAATTGTTGTGAAGCAATTGCCCTAAACTCTTCCACTACACCATTAAAGCAAAACAACAAAGAGCCTTGGGTGACCTTATGCAATTATCTCTATGAGAGAAAGCGGTTCCACCCCCTTTATTGATATAACTAGCAGCTAAAATATCACATTATTCCGTCTGAACATAAACGAATCACATCTTTATAAATGTCATTGCTCACTAGATCTGTTTATGTACACCCTGGATTTCCACATGGCCAGCAATATTGTGAGCTTAGGAAAAAGTTATCTTTTAGACTGGCCAGACCGAACAGCTCCTCCAATTAATAAAATATTAATATTTGAGTTTTTTTCCTGTATGGGCCAGGCTTGGCCAAATGTGTAAGGCAAAATAATCAGAAAACATTATGGCCTTTCTCAATAGAAGCTGGGGTCTTTTGTAAGAGAGCTTTGGTTATGATAGAAACTGTGAGGGGTAAATCAAGTTTCCACTGAACAGAGTAAGATAGTATGGTTATTTTTATGGGTGGAACATTTTCTATTTTACATTTTTCTTCTTATAATATAGTTTCGTTCATTCTTCCAGGCAGGTTTATTCCGACTATATCATGCTCAAAATGATATGGTATTTTTTGACATGACATGCTATACCTATACAACTATACTACCTGTGAAATTGGAAAGATTAGATATTTTGGAATCAGTGCTTATTTCATTTATATATTGTGTAAATTAAATAAATCAGAGGCTGTTTTGCCAAGTTTAAGCATTATTTTAAAGTATTGCAATGTGTGAGTACAAGGAATCTTAGCATGTGTATAGATCATACTCAGGTTATGTTATGCTTAATTTGGTCTTATGATCATTATGCAGGCTGCAATTGTGAATTCCCAAACTCTTGAAGAGGTTGCTAGACTTGAGAAGGTAATTGCTTTTTGCTCAATTAAATGGGTAACTTGGATTTTGAATTTATGTAATGTTTTACGTCTAATATAGCATTTCTAAGTGGATTTCAAATGACAGGCATTGAATTCAGGCCAGATTCCTGCAGATTTTAAGATTTTGAATGATGATAATGGCTTCAAACATATAAAAGATAAAGATGAGAAAATGGCTACTGATAGTCCTATTGCGTCTGATGCTGAACCAAGTAATGTGGAGGAGCAGAAGGATAATGAAACTGAAACTGCACTCATGGAACAGGTATTATTCAGTATATATTATGCAGGTTTAGAACTACATTCCCGTTTTTGCTTTCCATTTTCTAATTTGTTCTCTATGCTTTCCTGAGAGGGACATTTCTTAGTAATTGCTGAAGTAACTCATCTGCAAGTATTGAATAGAAATGAGTACTAACAACCAATAGCATCAGGAGCCCCCGCGCACCCAAAAAAAAAAGGAAAAAAAATGGAAGGTGTTGATGTTATTTTACATTGAATAGTGGAGTTGTGGTTTGTGTCAGCTTTAGCAAAGTTGAGGCTTGGCAACAACAATAACTAACCCTTAGTCCCAAAATAGTTAGGGTCGGCTATGTAAACCCTTTATGTCCCATGTGCCTTGTTCCTAGCTGAATCCGCAATTTGGCTTAGCATGTGACTTTATGGTTTGTGATGTTGGCTTATGAGCCTTGCCTGATAGGTTTGTAAATTTGACAAGAGAATAGTGAAAAAGAGAAATTGAAGATCAAATATAAAATCAAATGGCTGATTTTACTGTTCCACATCCAAGTTGTAAATTGGTTTTATCAATATATTAAATCCAATTCTATAACAATTAGGTGTGACTTTGTGGTTGGGTAGGGTGTGAGTTTATGGTTGACTCTTGAGCATTTCACTAGTTTTTCCTGAACAAACTAGGAATTCTCTAGCTTCAAATTTTGTACTTCCATATTATAGAATTTAATACCTGAGAAATTACTACTAATTCTTCTGCTAACCGGCGAATTGCTAACTGACGGATTGCCTCCAGAAAGTAGTCATTGAAATATTTGATTTATCATCACTTGTATAGTTTCTTAATCCTTTTATCTGTTACAGGAATTCTTCAATTCCTAGTTGACCATCCGAATCGGTGTGCATATTGGTTTAATAATATTAATCTATGGTACTAGTTTTTTTGTTAGTTTATAGGTATTTGATATTTCCTTCAGTTACCTTCCCCCATTCGAGGAGGTTCTGGTGTTCTTTCTAAAATTTTATCTATTTTTGGAAATTGATTCTGCCATTAATGCAATTTCCTTGTCTTCTACCAGGAATAGAGGTTATCCAAAGGAAATTATGCGTTCTTGACATTCCTCATGAGGGCTACGGAGTAATTCGAGGATTTTGCATCGTTTTAGCAGGGATATTTTGCTGTTTAATTATCCTGGACATTTGTCCCTTTTTCTTCGGTTATTCTTTGGTTATCTTTGCGGATGTAGCATGTATGTCAACTTTTGGGACGTATACAAGTTAACCTTGTGTTTTGGGACTTGGGATTGTCTACTTCCTTTTGGAATTGAATTTACTAATATATTGACCCTGATCTTATTTTCTCATATTGTTTTTCAAGATGTAAAGTACAATTCATTTTTCTTTCTTTTGTGTTGTTAGTTAGATCTTAATTCATTCACACCTTTGAGAAGAGGTATACTATAAATAAACAAAGGTAGAGCTTGAATTTTTGATTTGTTTTTCTTAGTTCTATACAAAAAAAGAAAAAAAAAAAACAATTTGGAAATCTGTATAATTTTGAAAATGTGAATACTCAGATGGTTTGTTGAGTCAAATGGAATCAAGTGCAGCAGTTCACCATATCTTTGATGGTTAAGCTAGGGCGTATTGGATGATTGGCAATTTAATATAACGGATCTCAAAACAAGAGGGTATAGCACGATATATATTTATATATTGCAAAATATGAAGACAATTGTAATTTTTCCTTTTTATTTTTACATTATAAATGAAGATATAATTATAATTTTCATCTCTAAAGTCGTACTTTTCTTTTCCTTTTCATTTATTATAGTGATATAGTGTGAGACCACCATTAAAGTGACAGGGTGACTGCTTTTTTTAAAGGATCGAACAAATCCTTAATGGAGGGGAAAAAGAATAATTTTAAGATGTGAACTAGATAGATAAAAATTAACTCAAAAAAAAAAAAAATTATTCTCTCAAGAATATTAAGATACACGATTCAAAAAAATTGAAACAACGCCACCCAATTTTACTAGTTCATTTTAAAACCAAAAGGAAAACCCAAAACCAAAATTCAGCTGGCCTGAACCACTCAATGACGTACATACGAGCTAACCAGAATACCATCTCTAATTGGGATATTGACCAGCTTATAAAACATGAACAAACAAAAATTAATTTTTTTGACTTGCCACGGGCGTAGCAGAGCAAAAGCAATGGATACTCTAATCAAGATTAACAATCAATTAGATCCACTTATTATACAGACAATACCACAAGCATAATAATAATGCTTACAGGAAGCACATTGATAGCAGTTTTCACAAACTGTAACTATGGATAGCAGCTTTTACAAAGTAACTATAGATAGCAGTTTTTACAAAGCGTAACTATAGATAGCACAAACCATAACTATAACAAGGTAGTAATAATGTTGATGCGAAAATCTGCATTCTTCATCCAGACACCAACCATGCCAATCTAGCAGCTTCTTACTGTCTGGCCAAGCTAAAGGTGTAACAATATCAAGGTAACTTCCACTTCCAGATACATCCAGCTGCCCCCATCATCACAAACAAGTTTCATGACCACATTAAACTTGCTTTTATCACAGATGTCTTGATCTCCTTCAACCAAATAAAATCAAATATCAAAATAAATATTTGAAAGATGATTCAAAAACAAATAAAATATTAGAAAGATGAGCTGATGAGGCAAAATCATAAAGCAGGATGAATTGAGTTTAGAATGAAACCTCGATTAGTACTGCATTGGATTTTTCCAGTATCAACCAGCAGTGAGCTCGAAATGTCGAGCGCTGCAATTGCTGGTGCAGTTGTTTTCACCCCATTCTCCTGCACCAGCAACGGGGTATAGTTGGCTGATTGCTATTCAGAATCATCATAAACTTCATTGTCGGAAAGCTCATCAAAATCTCTCATATCAAGCTGATAACGGAGAATCCCTCCAATCCCACCAAAACCTCTGCAAAACTGGGATCCTTCTTGCGATTTGTTGGTGACAAACTCAAGAGTGCAACCAAAGCGCTTGTATTCATTAGCAAACCACTCGAGCAGTGGCAACTTTTCCTGAACCTCTAAGTCAGCAGAAGTGGCCAGATCCCTAAAGTTGCTCAGGTTAGCCTCTTGCTCTTTGTTCAGATGTTTTATAACAATCTCACCAGTGGTGCTATTTTTCAAGGTATACCTATTAATATCCAAATTTTCCCATACAATAAGTGTCTCAACAGCACCCATCTCGAGACCTTTCAGGGTGTCATCCACACCAAATACATATTTTCCAGTATCCTGGCTAATCTCTTCAAAGTACTTGCCAATCAAGCGTTTCTCTTGTATAAACTTCACATTGGACAGAATTTCAGATGAAAGCTCAATTGCCTGATTAAAACCATTCTCACCCCCATATGAAACATCAACCACATTCAGAATTTTAGCCTGAAGTCGAGGATCAAACATATCAGACTGGCTCAGTTCTGTCTTGAAGTCTGCAGATCCAGCAAGAATTAATCCTGCAACATTAGGCTGGCTGGTGGCTGGGTTAATAAAGAACTGCGTGGCAAGTTCAGCTGTCTTCCTCACATAGTTGTGGCGCTTCTCCATTCGAAGTCGAGCAAATCGAAGAGCTGATTGTCCTCCTCTCCCGTGCTTCTTTGGCAGGTCAACAGTAAATTTATGCAGAACCTCTCGAGTGTTACCACTCAGTGTCCCAAAAAGGGTTCCATTACCATCCATGACAATAAAACCAAACTTGTCATCAGATTCCAAAAGCTCATTTAGTGCTTCTGTATGAAACTTGTTGTCACACAAGTAAAGTGATGCATTGATGGGTCTAAAAGGCTCAAAGTCAATGGTCACCTTCTTTTCCTTTCCATCGTCAGTTACAATTGTTCCTGTGTAAAGGACAAGCCCATTTGAAGGAACCTTATTGTAAAGTTTGAGCCTTTGCTGAGCAGAAGTGATTGCACCTAAAACAGACTGCCTGTTGACCCTGCTTTTAATGTTTGAAGCAGTTCCAAACTCATCTCCAAGCATCTTAGTGACACGTGATATCTGATCACGAGGCGGCATGATGAGAGAAATCATGCTTGTTCCATTTCCTCGGGCAGCCTCTAGTGCTTTTATAAGCTTTTTAATCTTCCATATCTCAATGTTCTTATCAGTCTCATGGCCATCTGACATTTTGGTTGCAGACTTACAAAATATCTAATAGTTAACCTGCAATAACAGATCATTAATATTCATACAACTATATAATGGAGAAAACAACCTTGATTCTAAACAAAAATACTGATCATAATTGCAAGACTCAAATTTTGTAGCTATAATAGGTTGAAGAAATCAAAAGATATGTACTTAATTAAGTTTCAAAAAATCCAACAAACACTAAATTTTGCTAACTGAATCATAATTCCTTTAAGCGTGATTTTAAATGAATTTGTTTCTTGGTATCCAAAACCAATATTAACCTTTGCCTATATTTAAATTCTTCAACAATTAGTTTAAAGAGTCAGACAATTATCAATATAGAAATTATTCAGTGTCCCTCAAAATTGGAAAATAATAAATTCGCCAATCTTATCATTCTTTTGCTAGTTCGATAGTGCATATAACTAAGAAGTTCCCCAACTGCGAAAGTTAACACTTACGATCTATTCCCTTTACCAATATTATCCAGGAGAAGAACTTGAACTAATTAAGGCTAAAGAAGAAAGAAAGGTAATTCAACTTATTAAAGTTTAGCACAAGATTGGAAAGAGGGTCAAGGCTTCCACAAACATAAGTATATACAGGTTTTTCAGTTGGAATTGTTTGTTTGATTAACGAGAACTTATTCATATATATTTGAATTGAACTTTTAAATACACACCCAAATTACAGATACATCCACTTTCATATTTCAAACTAACAAAGAATATAAAATGCATAAATTCGAGTTGTTGAAGGCAAGAAATAACACAAAAATCCATAGAAAAGGTTGAAAAATTACATTTGGCAAAAACCCATGGAAAAAAGGAATTAAAAGGTTAAATTAGAGGGGAAAAACCCATGGAAAATCGAGAAAGAAAAACCAAAGAATTTCAAATACTACAAGCGGACACAGTTGAGATTGAATTTCAGAAATCATAATCAAAAAGTAATACCTTAGATCTAACTGCTAATCTTCAGCAGAGAAACAACAGAAATCAGAAATCATATAACTGCAATCTAATCTAATGTTTTTTTAAAGAAAAAGTATAAGGAAAGGAAAACCAAAGGGAAGAGACAGAGGTAACATAAAGCAAGCACCTAAACACGCGTGATGAATATAATAAGTAAAATATGCATTAAAGAATAAACAAAAGGACAGAGATACATAAAAATAAAATACGATAGAGGTATATTATATTTAAAAAAGAAGCTAGAGATGGTGAACCTGACGGCGCGTGCGGTGGTAACGATATGGCCGATCGCCTCCTAAGAAAGAATAAGAGGTTGTAATTTGGCGTACGCAAATCACCAATGTCTCAGAAAACGCTTCAGCTGCCCTTTATATCACCCCTACGCATACCCTAACCCTGTAATTATAATCATGGTCAGTTTAAGGAACCTGAGTCGGTTACGGTTTATGAAAAGTACCCAGATGTTTATTGGGCCTAAGGCCCATTTATTCTATGTCCTTTTTTTTTTTTCACTTGAAACGAAACCCGACGATAATTTCCAGTCGACCCGAATAAGAGCCAGAAAGGGGACAACGGATAAGCGGAAGAGACATCTGCGTATTCTGCGTGAGGACGAAGCTGAGCATCATCTGCGCATTTTTTTAAAAATGGCATGGAGAGGCCAACTTTCTCGGAACATTAAAGAGCTTCGTGTTCTGCTGTGCCAATCTTCGTATTCAAGTTCATCGGCTAGGTTTTCTCTATTGTTATTCTTATATGATCGTTCCTGATTGCTCACGACTTTCTAATTCATTCAATGTTTCTATGGCATTTGATTTTTTCTTTTTGTTGTTATTGTAATTTGCAGAGCATTCATAGAGAATAATTACAAAGATCTCAAGTCACTGAACCCTAAACTCCCAATACTGATCCGTGAGTGCAACGGAATCGAACCTCAATTATGGGCTAGATATGGTATGTGAACCCTTCCCCTTCACTCCGATTTAGTTACGAAATTGTCCAACACTCTGCCAAAGATGCTTTGTTGGGAATACATCAATTTTGGATCTGTGAAGTTTAGTGATACGGCTTCTTTCTATTTGGTTGTTATCTGCTGTGTGATACATCTCCTTTTTGCCCGTAGCCTTCATAGTATTAAGAAACCATGGAATGATTATGTGATAATGGAGTTTTAAGCATATATCTAGTTATAAATGGTGACAAGTAATTCAGAATTCAAACAACTTGTTTTACCATCCGCCTCCTGGTAAATGCTTTGCTTGAGTATCTAATAAGCATATTTTTTTTACCTTGTAACTACCACAAGGTTAAAATTTTGCCTCATTGAAATTTACGTATGGCTGTTGCTTTTGAGCCATGCATCCTGGAATTAGTCTAGTCTTGATATGTTACTGTTTCAGCTAACAGCTTTGGCATTCTACTGAAGACCAAACTTGTTTCTTTGATGGTCGACTGTAGTGGTCTAAATGCTGTACCAGTATACTGAGAGCTTTTTTCGAGAGTTGTTTCCTTAATTAGATTTTTAGAGCATGTTTAGTTTCATTTGAAGGTTTAGATTTTTAAGCATTTACCTCTTTATCCAAGTATAATGTGCTGTATTCATTTATTTTGCTGATGACCTGCCAGTCAAGTTCGCTTAGAGATTTCTCCTCCTACTCATCCTTTTATCCTGCACCAAAAAGAAATCTGGTAAAACATGTGCAAAAGCACATTCACTCATTTGCACCCCAAAATGCATTTTGGGTTAAAGAAAAAACTTTCACGCATTTCTTTTTCACCTTATTAATGTAACCTCCTTATAACAATTTCTTCTCACATCCGGATTGAACTGTCACTTCCCCTTTATGCTAGCTCCGCATGATAAACATTAAACAAGACTAACAAATGGTAACATGCTATATGTGTTATTGCCAATAATGCCGCCCCCCACCCTGCCCCCCTTCTTTCTTGTCCCCCTCTCTCTCAAACACCACATCAAATGCACCCTTGCACGCAAAATTTTCAAAGAAATGTTAGCAATCACACAGCCTCAGATAATGACAAAATGATGTTTCTTCTCTCCACCTCCTGGAAGGAGGCCAAAGACATTATAATTGAGTAGTGTCTTATCCATTTTTTGATAAAAAAACAATGTTGTTTGATTGATGATGTATTTACCGTACAGGCATGAATTCTTGCTCTGGTGAATTTTCTTTTTCATTGGCTACTATATTTCATGCATTTAGGATAGCCTGTCCCATTTTTTTCCAATAAACACGTTCTGTTATTTTCAGTCCTTTGGCTCTTTATTTTTACATCACAAAGCATTGTATTACACATAGTTTTGGAATTGTTGATTTCAAAACAGATATGGGTGTGGAGAGGGGCATTCGGTTGCAAGGTTTAACTGAGGCACAGATCTTGAAGGCCCTTGAAGACCTTGTGAAAGTAGGAGCAGCACTTAAAGCTTGATACTGTTGCTGTTCAACTGCATGGAATGAAATAAAGTGATGCTTCTGGAAGATATTCCTATCACAGTTTTTCCTGTGTTATGCAATTTGTTCTGAGTTGCAAAGTTGCCGTTATCTTTTATGGTCACTATAACTTGCATTATCGTTTTTTTTTTCTTGCTGTTGACTAGTCCAATTTCCAATCAATCTATTGTTGCTTCTGCAAAGAATAAAGAAACATCTGATAAATTAATTGGCAAATAAAAAGCATAAGAGTAGGTTGGAGGAGTTAAAAGATGGAATGTATTTAGTTAACTTTCTAAGTCCTAACCTTTTGTTGAGTTATTTTAAGAAGTAAACGAAGGATAATTGAGGTAAAATGTTCGCTCTTCAACCTCCAGATTGAAGGGTGAAATGCACGAACTTTCCAGAAGTAAATATCGTTTTGACAACAGTTATTGTTCGAGATTGCTATTCAGTGAGTATCAGCTTCAATCTGTCTTGCTTTAACCTACCAACCCCATGGATTTGTCAATATATCCATGTAACAAGGCAACCCTTCCTAAAGTTCCAATTCAGCGGTAGTGGAGGAAACAATTTCAGCTACGAATGGGGGACCTAAAATTTCTCACCGTCGCCATTTAGTATTCAATAAATTTATTGAGATGCGTGCGACTCAATGTTAGAACTTAGAAGCGATGGAGTCTTTCAGTGCAGTTGGTGAAAGTTCATATTTTTTAAAAAAAATTTAAAGAAGCGCGGTGACCGGTGCTTAGTGCTTACAAAACTCTTGTAAAAATACTGTACAATAAAATAAACTTTAGATCAAGCTAAAATTCTCTTGAATCCGGGGAAAAAGTTACCCCTAGTTAGAAGAGTGGAAGGATGAGTGAAACCCTAGTGAGGATAGAGGAGGTTCAAGGGAGAGGAAGAGCTCTAGTATCCTCTCGGCCGCTAAGGGCCGGCGAAATCGTGCTTAGGGATTCTCCCATCCTCCTCTACTCCGCGTTTCCTCTGAATAGAGCCTCAATAAAATATTGCGATGAGTGCTTCAGAAATTTACAATCAGCATCGATAGTGGTATCATGCCCATCTTGCTCTCATCACCATTTCTGCGGCCCGAATTGTCTTTCGGCGGCGATGGCCTCGTCTCACGCTCCCTGGGTTTGCCGAGCTCTAAGTTGCCTCCGCGAGTGTCCATCCCTTGTGGTGGAGCGCCAAGTCCAAGCTCGTTTCCTCATCGGCGCCTACAATCTGGCCGTCGTCGCGCCTTCCAACTTCCAAATTTTATCCTCTCTTCAAGGCCGCGGAGAGGATGAAGATGCCGCAGTTGCTCAATTTCTGCATTCCATCATATCGCCCCTCTGCCCTCCTTCTCTGGTCGAGCTTTCCGTGGAACTTACTCGGGCACTACTCGCCAAGGACAAGCTCAATGCCTTTGGTTTAATGGAGCCGTTCAATTTGAACGAAGAAAGATCAGTCCGAGCCTATGGCGTCTATCCCAAGGCCTCCTTCTTCAACCATGACTGCCTTCCAAATGCTTGCAGATTTGATTATGTAGACGCTGCAGCTGATGGCAATACTGACATAATTATCCGAATGATTCATGATGTTCCCCAAGGGAGAGAGATCTGCTTGAGCTATTTCCCTGTTAATGAGAGTTATTCCAGCCGGCAGAAAAGATTGCTTGGGGACTATGGCTTTACCTGCGAGTGTGACCGCTGCAAGGTGGAAGCTAACTGGTCTGACCATGAAGAGGAGGACGTGGTTGGTGAAGCAATGGAGCAGGACCACGATGAACCGATGGAGGAGGAGGAGGAGGTTGGCTCAGATAATGAGACCGACTTTCCTCACTCGTATTTCTTCGTGAGATACATGTGCAATCGCAACAATTGCTGGGGCACGCTGGCTCCTTTGTCCCCATCATCACATGCTAATATCTTAGAATGTAATGTCTGTGGCAACATCAAGAATGATGAAGTAGTTGGTGTTGATGCCGATGCTTGATTCAACGGATCACCTGCCTCGCTAGTCTGTTGCTATGGTTTTGCTTCACTGGTATGTATTTCTGTTAGCTTAAATTGAATTGATGGAGCAGTGAAACAAATTACCCACTTCCTGTTTTAAATCTCATGGCGAGGTCTGAATGTATTCTAGTGGTAGGTTTATTTTATGATTTTTTTTTATCCCATCCATTTGTTTTGCGTGAGACAGTTGTTTTATACTATAATACTGGGAAATATTTGATTTCTTTGGAAATATTTCATTTCTTTGAAGTCACAAGTCACAACATAGCACTTTTAAGGTCAAAGCACCGTCTTTAGGTAAGTATTTCCCTATCTTATAATGATTAAGATTGTCGAAACAGGGCTATACTGCTTAGTGCTTAATGTAGTCCAAACTCAAGCGTCTTCTTTAATTTTAGTCCAGTATGCTGTTTTATATGCCCACTACGGATTCTTATTTCTTAATGGGCTGTCATCCTGTGATGTAAAATCCGATAATTTTTGCTACTTCTGAGGATATCTTTGCTACTCTTGTAGTTTGTTTTATTTATGATTTTTTTTTTTAGGATAGATGAATGAGGTGTTATAGTAAGTAAAGGAAGGAAAGCTTGCCATTAACGCTCTGCGTATTGATATATTGCTGTGTGAAATGATAAATCCATAATAATAATATGATTGGGTATAGTCTGATCCATAAATCCATACATAGGATAAGGCGATAAGCCTACGTGGCAAAAACCCACTTCCTCACCCTACAACTCCTTTGTAGAAAACACTCTACTCTTAACTAGTGCCAACAAAATCCATGGCGTCACCAACACTCCTAACCCCAACCTCCAAACCAACACCTCTTCCTACCACCAGATCCAAAATCCTCATCGTTGCCAACGCCAGTCCTTCACTGCAACAGCCGCGTCACGAACAGCCTCTTCGCCGCCACTTCTTGTCTTTAGCCACCACCGTCATTGCTCCAACATGGCTTTTCCCAGTGGGTTCAGCTCTTGCGGCATTAGATGAGGAGTACTTGAAGGAGACTGAAGATGTGATCAACAAGGTCAGAAGCACAATCAACATGGACAAGAACGACCCTAATGTAGCTGCTGCGGTGGCTGATCTAAGGGAGACATCCAATTCTTGGGTTGCCAAATATAGACGAGAGAAAGCTTTACTTGGCCGTGCTTCTTTTCGTGACATTTACTCAGCACTGAATGCTGTTTCTGGGCATTATATTAGCTTTGGGCCAACGTCCCCCATTCCGGCAAAACGAAGGGCAAGGATTCTTGAGGAGATGGACACGGCTGAGAAGGCATTATTGAGGGGCAGATAATTTTTAATTTTTAATTTTTAATTTTCAAGTTGATTTTTGTTTCAACCATGCCAATTTTATTTTGTTGAATCCGAGTTTACATAACGACATTACGAGGTAATTGCCACAGATTCAACATTTAAGTAATCATTCCCTTAGAAATTGGAATTACAACGTAATGTTGAGTCTGTGCCCAGTCCATTGGGTCAGAATAGAAAGCATTTCATTCCATCAAATGATAATGATATTTAATTTTATTATTATATAGGTGTATTCCATGTGAGCAGAGAGCATATTGGTTTATTTGCTCTAAGTTAATAGTTTGGTACTTCAAAGGGAAGAAAAAGGAAAAAGAGTTAATTTAACAAAAGCTTCTCCTTTTAAGTTTTTCAGAACACACCAAAATACGTTCGTAATTAAATAAACAACGAGACACTAAAATGATGAAGTATAAGATGAATAAAACTCGGTGATTGCAATTGGCCAAATTAATATGTACAAAGAAAGCAGGTGAAAGGAATCAAATACTGGAATGCAGTTGAAGGAATTTGTGCGATGAAAGCCTCAACGATTTTGGGAGGCCCACATTTGTTAAACAAATAAACGTTATCAAAATGGAAAAAGGAAACAAGAAAGATAAAAAGGCTTCCAATGTGGCTATTTTAAACGTGAAACATGCGTATGAAGCGTGAACCATGCCACGAAGTCGGAGAGAGGCCTCTCTTTAAATTTATGTGAAGGAGATTTATCCCACTTTTATTTTATTTACCCTGAACCTGAAGATTCCGAATTCCACTACCATTTGGCCGCAGCTTGTTGATGGGGAATAAATTGCAGCCACCGAGCCAACAGTCCATTGGAATAACCAAGTGTAACCCTCAAAAGTGAAATCAAATGGGAAACTTGTCACTTGTCATTTCTCACAGGAGATAAGGTCAGGAATCAGGTGGAGTGATTAAAGTAGCCAACTTCCTTTTTTTTTTTTTTTTTTTTTTCCGAATCTCCACTACCATTTGGCGCAGCTTGCTTAGCCATGCGGAATAAATTGCCAGCCCACCGAGACCAACAGTCCATTGGAATAACCAAGCTGTAACCCTCAAAAGTGAACGATCAAATGGCGGAAAACTTGTCACTGTGTTCATTCGTCTTCACAGGGAGATCAAGGTCAGGAATCAGGCTGAGTGGATTAGAATAAGCCAACTTCCTTTTTTTTTCTTTTTTTTTTTTTTTACTTTTTCTGTTTCCAAATAAGGTCGCTGCTAACACACAACTTTTTTTCAGTTATTTTTTTTTTTTTTTTTTTACTTTTTCTGTTTCAAATAAGTCGCTGTAACAAACTTTTTTATTACTTATAGAGAAGTGAAAGAAGTTATATTTGAATTTTTTAGAACTTTTGTTCCCATTTGGTGAATGTGAGTGAATGAGGCTCGCATCTGATAGATATGAGTAACAATTTATGTGGTGATAATAAATACCTGCTTAGTATTTTTGTATCACTGTGAAGGTGTGGTGCTAATTATCTGTTCAGTATTGGAACGGAAGAGTAGACTTAGAACCTTTTTTTTTTTTTTTTTCCATAAGACTTAAAACCAATTTGCATATTAGTAATATGGCAAGTGATTTAAAAACCAAAACTTTTCCTATAATTTTTTTTTTAAATTCTATCCTGGCCCGGCCCAAACAGGGAAAAGGTAGAAAAATGGGGAAATCGATGAAGGCGGGAGGATACGATTTGGACGCATTGCTGGCAGTTATGAAGTTAATGTGAATCTGAACGGAAACTGAAAAAACGTAAATGAGTTTTAATTTTGTGGATTAGAGTTTCACTTGGAATCTAATTTTTTTTTTTTTTTAAATAGTAAAATATCGCTTCCTGGGCTGTTCTTATCTTCTTTAACCTTTCAATCAATCCTCCTGTCCTGCCCCAAGCAAGCAGTAAAAAGCATAGATTCGCAAAAAGAAAGAAAGAAAGAAAGATTTCAAAAATTCATAATAAAGTATAAAGAGCGGATGGGAAACCAGAGGTGAAGAGGGGATTGACTGCACAGATGTTCTCCAAATATCAAAAGGACGCCGAAAAAGGAAACATCCGAAACCTCCTCTGGCATCTCTTCCCAAAAAAAAAAAGAAGCAAACTGTCTATATATGTATATGTATCATCATAATATATGAATATGGACATGAATGAGTGATATCTCCTCCATACAACATTTCACAAGCCAAAAACAATGGCATCTTGCCAATATCAGCCTATTAAAGACCGAGACCTTGGCAATAGAAAATACAAGTCCTCTAGCTGTACCTGCACTGATGGCAACGGCGATGAAGATGTTGAATTGGCTCTTCCAATTGCAAAGCCGATTGATGGTGCTAATAAAGCCATTCAAGAAAAGAATTCCTTAATCATTTCTGCCAACTCTCACCAGCAGCGTCTCGTTTCTCTAGATGTTTTTCGCGGACTCACTGTTTCGGTATTTCTTTTTTATCTCCTCCTGTTTCCTTGACGCCCCAAGAGAGCGACAAAATTAAAAGCATGCGAATTGCGAGTGCATTTCTTATTTCTTGACAATTTCTCTTTATTTTATTTTTCTTACGACTTCTCGTGCAGTGTCAACAATCATTTTACAAAATTTTTTATCTTTTTTTTTTTCCATCGGTTGATTTAAT